GAGACAACTCTCCATCCAAGTCACAATTTGTAAAAGTAAACCATAATAGGTCTAAGTACGGTCTTCAACACGGAGCCTTGGCTCACACCGAGACTAGTGTAAAACCATTCAAACGGGAAAACCAACGGTCTAATTTATACAAAAAACGAGAAACGATAAACACTTATGAATGAACCACATCAACATACGACAACTACTGAACATCAGATTCCTGACTTAGGACAGGTGCAAAAAAAAAAATGCAGCGGGTTTAAACGTTTTAATAGGTACCAACCTTCGCCCTTATCTGAAACAATAATGTAACATCACAACATAGAAAGACACACTATAAAATATCAACTGAAATGGCTTAACTCAATCAAAAGACATATTAACACAAGTGAACATACATTGAACGAATAAAGTTGATCTATGATACAATGTAAATACAAAATGAATAAAATAAGGGGTGAATAAATAAAGGCAACAGTAGTATACCGCTGTGAGATGTTAAACAATTTCAAAAAAACAACAACAACCTTGAACAAAAAGTCGCCAAATACAATAATATACACAGGTAAATGAAAATAATTTTGTTGTAAGGTATACAGTTTAAATGGAGAACGGACATATTTTTTCCAAATAAATAATTTTGTTGTTCATAGTACGAAGAAGTGAAAATTTATAGTCATACCAAACACTTATCAAAGCTGGTATATAGACGAGATATAACCCTGCATAAGTAAACATTAAATATAAAAAAAAGCATTACAAATAGTATCAACATATTAAATTAACAAGAAAGTACGATTTGAGAGTAATCGCAGTTACTGACAGCTAGTTAAAAGCCAAAAACAATTAATAATATAAATCATGCATCAGAGACGAAATACATGTATATAGAACGTCTTGTACGAATTATCGTATTTAATTCACGAAAAGCGTAGCTTTGAGTTGATTAGATATTTAAATGAGTAAGGCGTGGCTATTACATGATTTTTAACAATAGACAATAGACAATACTTTATTATTAAACCTCAGACACATAGGTGTACAAGAGCACATAATATATACACATTAACACATTTTGATACTCAATACATTTACACTAAACATAATAATGCATGCATGGTAAAATACAGCAAAATGTCAATTTACAAATTACCATAACATTCAACTCTAAAAAGACAAACATAAATCATAAGTATCGTGTAAGTAGTTTTAAAAATATTGCTAAGTTTTTGTAAAGTTCTACATGACAAAATATTAAAAGCTGTTTTAATTTGTAAAATACATATTCCAGATCGCGGTGATATAGGAATCTTGCAACTATTGGTGCTCTTCTGTTGTCCCCTTTTGTTCTGAATCGATGGACATTGCCGAATTCATTCCTGTAGTCGATCAAAACTCATTGTATAAAAAACAACGCAAGAGCTCTTCCGTATCTTCACCCGGAACTCTATGCAAGCCCGTGAAAATCAGATTGTTTTTCATTGACCTGCATTGCAAGTCAAGAATGGCTGCTTTTAGTGACTCACATTTCCTTTGATTCTATGACTGGTGGCACAATCGGTTGAACGATAGTCTTCTCTTCAAGTTTCTTAATTCTCATATCATGATTGTAAATATTACGTCTGTTAGTTTTTACTTGTCCATTTACCTGATCATAAAGATTACTAACACCTTGGCAGCTAGTCTCGCAGTCTGATAGCTTTTTGTTGAAATCGCTTGCCTGGTTTTCTAATGTTCTAACCCTAGCTGAGACCGTTAAGAGTTCTTGTTTTAAATCATCAAGGCGCTTCTCCATACTTGTTACCATTCGTCTCATTGTAGAGTCGATACCCGTAACTATTTCCAAAATCAAGTTTAGCAATGCACCCGAGTTCAGATTTACATCATTGGAAGAGTCAACGATTCTTCGGCTCTCCTTAATTAACCTCGACGTATCACTCATCGACATTCTTTTGATATGATTGGTTGTTCTTATAAGTGAATAGGTCAAATTTACTATAAAACAGCTGATTTTACTATAGTCCAAGGTCCACTTTCATTCAATGCCAAATGAACAGTTTTCAATATATACACTGTTTATCCCCCAGGGTATGCAGGACAGGTCTCAGTGAAATTAATAGTTTCTTTGTTATCAAAAAACTTCTAATATGGGTTCTAGATCTCCGAAATTCAGACAATAAGCTTAAAGAGTATAATATTCACAATTGCCGAAATCTTACTCGAAAATCTCCAGTAAAACTATCCAAAATCCATATTTTTGTTGAGAGAGTAAAAACACTTCATTTTCTTTCTAATCACGTGAGTCTATAAAGCACATTACATGTACAAGGTAAAAATGAAATATTAACATCTGTTTTTAAAATGATATAATATAGTTGAAAATGCATGCTACTTATGAGCATACACAAACAAACAATATTTCAGAGTTGATTACAAAATGCATAGTATATTTAAGTGTGTAGGCAATTAATCATCATTTATTCAAGTACCTTGAGACATGTAAATATGCTTTATAAGTCAGTAGAAATATATTTGTATATATAAAGTTTGGAAGAGACACTAAGCTTACTGGAACAAATGAAATAATGTTGGAAAAAAAGAGAAGGAAATAAAATAAAATAATAAGCACTAAATTTGTTTTTTTTTTAAAGAACACGGTAATTGTCGCTAATATATTTCTGAACAGATTTTAGAATAGTAATATTTATATCATACGAAATTAATCTGTTTCCAAAAAGTAATAAGTCAATATTTATATCAACATTATCATCAATAATTGAGTAAATGGAATCGAGTAAAATCGGTCTTACATTATTGTACATAGGGCAAATAAAAAAGAAATGCTAGTTATCCTCAACAGGGTGATTACAGTTTGAACAAATACTGTTCTCTGTTAAAAAAAAATTGATTAAACAAGTGAGATGTTAGGTTGCTAGCATTATTTCTAAGTTGACAATGACTATTATTATATTTCCTTATCCCATAATTGAGAGGTTTAAGTATTTCATCAATCCTGTAAAATTTGTCTAGACTACCTCAAAATATACAATAACTTTGGGAATTTTGTATACTCAGAGGAAGACCATTCCAAAGTTTATCGTGGAAGGAATGAAACTATTAAAGTAAGAGCTAGTTCTAGGAAGTGGGGATGAAAAGTATTATTTTCATTCCTCAAAGTATATAAGGGGGTTGTCAGGGAAAATATGGCTGGACTAACTAATATAAGTATGCAGGTGTCACCCCATTTAATATTTTATAAAAAAAAGTATAAGCTTATGTTAATTTTGTCTATTCGCCAGAGTTTCTAATCCTAATTCAATATAAGGTTTACGTCTCGATCATATTCATGGAATACAATGGAAATCTTTATATGATAGCAGATTAAATGATTGAAAATAGCATTTCAATAAATTTTGTACCTAACGACTTGTTAGAATAAAATTTATTCTTGGAGTAGCATGTTCTGTAATGGGTTAAACACAACCTTTAGATTTTGAAGATGCAGATAAAACTTCATCTTTCTGTTGTCTAAAAGAATCACAATTTGAAAATGTTCTAGTTGCAACTATGATTAGACTTATTTTGTGTTACTACACGTTTTATCATTCACGCTTAAACTTACACCATAAGTAAGAACACTACAGACAATCGGTGCCAGATTGATCAATCTGTGAATTTATGTTTCGTGGGATACCAAATTTCGTGGATTTCATTGGAACAGGTGAACTAAAAATTTAAATGTTCAACGAAGTACAAATTTTCTATAGACTTCAAATGTATCAAGACTTTTGTAAAACCACGAAATCATATATCCACGAAAATACAATTTTCCCTTAATCCACGAAAACGGGTAGCCACGAACATAAATTAATCCACAACTTCTTCTCACCTTTGCACGATGTCAGAGGTTTAATTTTACCATGACTTGTTACTGTCTTTACAATGTTTGATACGACGTTGATAATTTTGTCTCAAATTTCCGTTATTTATTAAAAATAAAACACATGAACACCACATAATCACACGTACATTTATGGAGTGCAATTAACAGTCTATGGAAAGTGCGAATCGAGAAATCCGTTTCTTATGTGGAGTAGCGATATTTTCTTCTGTAAATGAGATGCATTGTAGGGAAATCTCAGACGACTTTTGACATTTGTAGGAATAAATGAAAATTCATCTGAAAGTACTTGTTTATTCTTTTTAAAACATGGACGTATTTAACAGGACAAACGTATATACAACTTGCCATGTATTTTGTGAACATTTTATCCCAAGTATGTTGTATTCATACAAGTAAATATGCATTTGCATTAAATAAAACCTTTTTGCACGCTCTATAGTTTTGAGGTGTCCAAATACTTTGACAATGATGTACCAAATACAGTGGAATGGCCATTGAACTTATTCGATTGCATTCTACGTCATAATCACTTGTATAAGGATAATAAGGCTACTTTTTCTTATATGAGTGCGACGTCTTTCTAATAGAAAAGCGATATGCTTTTATTATGAAAAAAACTTATCAGATGCGATTTTTTGTAATAGAAATGCGATACTTTTTTCAGATGAAAACAATACGATAATATGGCACGAAACATCCAAACAAAGTAGAAACATCGACAATTATTCATGACAGGTTCGATGGTACAGGCCAAGTATCACTGAAATTTCGAATAGATGATGTACGTACATAATAAACCAATTATACGTTTGTCAACACAAAATTCAAGATATATTAGACTATCGAAAAGATTTTTCATGACCAGTAGCAGTTATTATGACAGTTGTCCTTTATAGTAGAACAGGAACCTCTTACCCTTTCGGAGCCAGTTTTGGTATTGCTCCATTTTTAGTGGTTTGTGTTGTGTTTAGTTAACTGTTGTTTGTCTTTTCATTGTTATTCCTTTGACCATGGTGTTGTCTGTTTTCCTTCGGCTAATGATTCTTGAATGCCTCACTGGTATGGTCTTTCTTTTTTTTACTAATAGATACTATAAAAAGTGCTATACATCTCACATTTATTTTATTTTAGCAGCTTCCTTTGTTCAAAGCAATGTCCCATGGCCAAACTTCTTGAAAGTCGCAAAAGTATATAATAAATATACCTCGATCGTGAGAGTATGGGAAATCCTGTTTAAATTCATATCGACTTAGGATGTTATTAGCATATGTTTTCCCATACATCAGAGGACTTGTTGAATCAATGGCAATAGCACCCGAGCATGGTTCGAACTCATTTGTATCGGAAGACTTACAGAACGGTCTGCACAATCTTCCACCGGAATCAAATGCTGTCAGAAGAACTTTTGTTACGCCTAAGCTGGGTTTTTTCACTGGAACATATGTTATTGCCTCTGCCATAGCAAATCTTTCGTCTATTATGGCGTATTCTAGTGACGTTCCGTCGTAGTTCAAGCCATCTGTTTGAATGAATATCTTTTCCATCCCAGAGCCATTAGAACTACGTCTTGAATAAGATTTTGGATTACCTGGATGTATTTTCTCGCTCATTATTTTGTAATGTGATGTAGAGAAAACATCACTGCTTGATGCTTTGCCATCATGTATCGCATATGATTTGAAGTTAACTGTTGGTGGTCGCGTTACATATACTTTAACAGTTAGATATACCCAAGCGTCCATGTCGGCCTTCCCGTTTATCTCAAATCTGTTTTGAACTGTATTAAGAACTACAGGGGTAGAAGCAAAATGGTTGAGATGTTCTTTGTAGCTCTTTGAGACGCATACCCATTTTGTCTGGTCACAGTATAACCAAAATGATCCGCAGTCTGGATAATCTGGGCTACATGTCGGAAATTCCTGACAAGTATAGATATCCCGAGTAAAGTGATGACTATAACCATCTATGTTTGTATAATTCTTATGTATAAATCCGTCCATTAGCCTGTAAGGATGATGTAACGGGTCATTTGTGTTTGGGTAGTCCTTTGAAGGGTCAATACCATTTATCATTTGTTGCATGCGAAATTTTTCCCATATGCAGTCAATAAATGCATGGTAACTGAAAAATATAGGGTCTTCAGCAGCAGATCTCAAACGCGCCATGTTACCACCAACGAAGGCATGACTTTTTCCATGATTTCTTTCAAAGTTATATTTTAGTTCCTTGGCGGTAGGATCTAGAATTTCATGTTGATATTTTCTAGACAATACATTTTCCAAGTCTGTTTTATTCATTGGTCGACCAACTGCTCCAACATTGCGAGTTAGAGGACCTCCTTCCTCGTGATGCCAGTTTGCGTATGGTCCATCGGTCACTAAGCCATCGGGATTTCCGATAAATAGTTTTGAAAATATGATAGAATCCTCGGGGTTTTCCATTTCACTGTCTAAAGTACAATCCCAATACGGAAGGGTAACAGAAGGAATGATTTCTCTCAACGCTTCCTCAAATCTAAAATAAAGCACTCATTGTAGTATTACTAGTTACTGGACAACCAAAAAGAGAAAAAAGAGAAAAAATAGTAAAACCAAATTTTGCTTCGTACAGAAAAGCTAGTTGCATTTAGAATGTTCTGTATATAGTTTATATCTGTTCAATTTGTGCCATATGATTTATGTTTATACGATTATCGCTACAAGTTTCCCTTATTCTTCTTAGACATAGAATTGAGTGCATAAGACTGAGTAAGTAAGAATAAAGGAGATACAATGCATCAGTGTTGATTTGTTTAAAAGATACCATGAGCCCAGAGGGTGAATTGTACTTTTGAAATGAACCAACACTTATCCAATGTGTCCATTAATTTAAATGTTGATGTGACGAATTTTTAGTAGATATGTTTCAAAATTTCTGGGATTAAACATTGTTTAAGCCTCATCTCGATTTACAATCGTAGTAATTATGCATTTGTTAAGATAATGTATAGAAAAAGAGAGAATTCATTATTTCGTGCATTTTGTCACATTGTTCATGTCAGAGCCTTTAATAGCGGACTAAACGGTATGTTTTTTTTTACTGTTGAAGGCCTTACAGTGAAATATAATTGTTTTATCCATGTCATTTTGAACTTTGGATGGTTGTCTTGTTGGCAGTCATGCCACATCGCCGTGTTTTCATATTGGAATTCACACTGAATATGTTTTGAAATATCAACCACTACTTCCCCCTCATAGAAACAGCATGCTTATAGTGATATACAGTTACATGTTTGATTTACCAATTCGTTGTTGAGAGGTTTCGTCGATGCGTTTAATATTAGGTATATATAAATGACGTGAAAGAGAGAGTTTGGTTCCTAGTGACGACAAAGAAAAAATGCAAACATTAGTGGTTACATTTTTTACCTGATTTCGTGAACAGAAATGAGTAAATAAGACAATTTAAACTGAATGAATATAACAAATAAACAGTGGGATATCCAGTGAAAGAAAACAAAAGAAAATTCACTCTTCTTATGATAGAGTCGACAAAGTCAATAATAAAACAATACCGGTGACGATACTGATCAAAAGTTATTTCTAAATAATAATTGTACATTTTAAAGAAATTATTTATTAAACTGTGTTATTAGAAATATACATGCAAATACACGATGTTTTATGTTCAGCATTTATCGAGATAATTGCTTTAGAAGTTTGTGAAACTGAAATTTAAAAACTGCAAATCTTTGCAGCATATTGATAAAAAAAAAAAATCATGTACATACAAAATGGAAAGATCTTTCGGGTCACAAATTTTCTGAGTGTTCCAAAAACTCCTTAGCATGTTACAATTTCCCAAAGCATGCTTATTTTTTCACACCTAAGTTATCGAGCACACCGGTCTGCTCTTGTCACATGTACATTCAATAGAGAACTATTGTCTTTTCGTGAATAAAAACCTTTAAAAGTCTGTCTGTGCAGGTTAAAAAATTAAAGATAACTATTTTTTTAAAGTAGGTATCTTTCAACTATTTTGTATACAATTTTGAGAAAAGGTCGTCTCGAGTTTTGTACAAGTATTTACGATCTTCTCGATCTATCCACATTCAACGTTTACATCGAGATAAGGTCTGTTTGATTTCGCTTAGTAACTTAATTTCAAAAATGTCAACCTCTGCTGCTTATTAAACGATTCCTTTGAATTTTTTTTCCCTGACTTTCTCTGATCTAGCTACATCACTGTGTCTAAACTACCCCGGCAAAAAATGTTTGGACACAATAGTATCTAATGTCCGGTACGGTGACGGACAATCAACAGACAGAAAAAAGATAGAATTTCTGTTTATTTATTTGTTTTTAAATGACATTGAAGAATAAACATACACATATAACTATTTTCGATTGTGTGATGTAATATTTTCTTCAACCTTTCTAGATTAATGGAGAAATAAGTAAAAAGGCACATAAAAATGGTGAATTGAGTGAACCTTCCTACGAATTTGTTTAATTTCTTTTTAAATTGTGTACATTGTACGGAAAAAAAACGTACGGAAAGAAAGATATTAACACAGAGATTGAATGGCTAGTCACTATGAGCACCTCAATATTTGCATTTCTGTGCATGGAACGAAGAAAGGAGTCATGTCAAAATGGAAGGACCCTGTTTCGTCAATGTTGTTTATTACATAAGGACCCGGTTTTGTCTCAGTATAGGACCCGGTTTTGTTTTGTTTTGAAACCACAAATTTATGAAAAGCTACGTTAGCACGGATCTGAACATTGCCCATCGGAAGAAATTAAATATGTGAGTCAAAAAAGATGTTATAAAGATGTTATTGCAATACAAACATGTGTTAAAATATATTTCAAACGGGAACTTATCGAAATAGGGAGTAGACATTTTTTAATGCTATATGTATACCTTATTGAAGTTATCTTCGAACTAAGTTTAAATGGAAATAAATACTTTATAGCATGTACTTACATTAATTCCTTATGATATAAAAAAGAAGATGTGGTGTGATTGCCAATGAGACAGCTCTTCACAAGAGATCAAATGACACAGAAATTAACAACTATAGGTCACCGTACGGCCTTCAACAATGAACAAAGCTCATACCACATAGTCAGCTATAAAAGGCCCCGAAATGACAAGTGTAAAACAATTCAAACAAGGAAACTTACGGCCTAATTTATGTACAAAAAAATGAACGAAAAACAAAAATGTAACACAGCAACAAACAACAACAACTGATTTACAGGCTCCTGGCTTGGGACAGGTACATATATACGGAATGTGGCGGGGTTAAACATGTTAGTGGGATCCCAACCCTCCCCCTAACCTGGGAAATTGGTTTTAACAGTACAATATAAGAACGAACTATAAAAATCAGTTGAAAAAGGCTTAAGTCATCAGATGGATACTTGTAAATAGAAATACATCTCACAAATGTTTGTTTGTTTTCTATATTACTGTAATTATGTAAAAATAAGATGTGGAATGATTGTGTTACCATATCAATTTATCAAAAGAGTAAGGATAGTATGCTTTACTACACTATACGCTATGTTTACAATATATTTACTCATTCGTTCATCCATTGACGGACAGTGAGAGAAAAGGGTCCGTTTTGAAGGCCCTGCTTTGACCGATAATCGTTTACTTTTACAAATTGTGACTTGTGAATTGAGTTGTCTCATTGGCACTCATACCACATCTTCTTATATCTATTAGAACGTTTTGGATATCTCAAATCAAAATGGTTGCCTTTCGAACGTGTATTTTATGTCCGCTTCGAAATACACAAGTTCTAAATTTCCCTATTAGAAACAAAATAATTCTATCATGCCATGCTCTACGCTCATTTTAACATAGGTAGGCATTTTATTTGTCAATATTTTATATCTGGCTAACGCTTGGTTTAAAAATTTTAACAAATATATTGCTAACCTATGTAAAATGAGCATTGAGCATGGCATGAAAGAATTATTTCTTTTTATAAATAAAAGTTGGTTTGAAACATTATAACGTCCAATATCTTCGTCTTCGTCTTCGTAGAAAAACCTAATTGGCAATTTAGCCCGTGAAAAATGACGATGAGACAGCTTTCCATCAGAGACCAAATGACGTAAAAGTTAACAAATATAGAACACCGTATGGCATCCAACAATGAGAAACGTCCATACGGCATAGCAAGCTAAAAAAGGCCCCGAAATGATAACTAAAAAAAACTAATGTAAAAACTAACGACCTAGACTTATGTACAAAATAAAAAACGAAAAACAAATACATGTATGATATATAGCAACAAAAGACAACAACCTATTTACAGGCTCCTGAATTCGGTACTGGCACATACAGAATGGCGGGGTTGAACGTGTAAGCCCCCCCGGCCCCCCTCCAAAAAAAAAAAACACAAGAAAAAAAATGGTATAACAGCACAATATAAACAAACTATAAAATTCAGTGAGTTGGAAAAGGCTTAACTCATTTGATTACAGAGCCCCTATAGTAAATATGTGATTGGCGGCTGTCTCTGTTTTTTCGTCTTTTATTAAATTTTATGATGGTATACGATATAGTTACATTATATCAGTGGCGGATCCAGGTGGTAGAGGGAGTACGCCGATCCCCCTTTTTTTGGTGGCTAGAAATAATTATTTTATCATGTTTTTTTACGATTTATATATGATCTTTTATTTAGCATAAAATCGTTAAAAAAAGGTTCTCCTTGCTACGCTCGGCGGTATAAAATCCGTTTATGAATACGCCCCTTTCAAAAATCATGGCCTCGGTCCGCCCTTGCATATTGGCAATTTTAAACTTGACCAAATTGCTTAAATTATAGAACATTTGTCAATGTACGATAATCATTATACAATGAAGAGATAGACCTATATATAAAAGTTGTACTATATAGGGCAGTTGTTAACAACTTGATACTAGTGCATTAAAGAATTTGTTAATGTTAAAAAAAATAGAGAGATAAAACATCGTTTATTTATAAAATTACTAATCAAATAATCATCATTGCAATTTCCGGATGGCCTAAGACTTTTATACTAATTTATACTTAGTATTATTGTAACAAGGAGGGGTAAACAGATTTTTAACGCACTATTATTGTGATCCTTTGCGCCGCATGGAAATTCCTTTTCTTGGGCGATTCTGCATGCACATACATTTGTCTTATTCTCTTGCTTTATAATGAACGTTTAGTTTCAGAATACTTATTTTCAAACGATTATACTGTCTTCCCTTTAAGTAGAGCGGAACACTTAGATAACCATCTTGTTGTCCCAGAAAATCACATATCAAATGTGCGTCCTTAAATTTTCAAGGCCGTACACTTATTAAGTTTGAACACTTAAATTTACATAGTTGATATAAAAAAATTATTCCGTTTCAAAACCTTCATTTCTTTTTATTTTTTTCCTTTTTTTATATATACAAAACAAAATTGAAATTTGCTTTGTTCTAACTGCTGTTGAACGCCATATTTTAATTTTCGTCATGCGATTATACATTATTTTCTATGACAAAACCGGGTCTACTTTGTGAAATTTAAGGACAAAACCGGGTCGTACACATTGACAAAACCGGGTGCTTCAATTTTGACATGACCCACTTCTTTCATTTCATGCACAGACATGCAAATATTGAGGTGTTCATAGTGACAAGTCTTAATCTCCGTGTTAATATTTTTCTTTCCGTACCTTTCTTTCCGTACAATGAGGGGGGTCGGACCTTTTACGGGACTTCGGGATCGGTTGTTTTTAAGATCGGGGTTTCGGGATTGATCCTTTCGGGATCCGGGAATTCTTTTTTCGAATTTCGGGATGTCGGGATTTAAATTTCTTTAAATTCGGGACCTCGGGATTTCATGTTTTTAAGCCCGGGATTTCGGGATCAGGACCCCTCCGACCCCCCACCCTCCCTCTACAATGTGCTCAATTTAAAGAGAAATTAAACAAATTCGAGGCAGGGTTCACTCAATTCAACATTTTGATGTGCCTTTTTCATAAATCTAGAACGGTGGTAGAAAATATTACATCACACTATCGAAAATAGTTATATGTGTATGTATATTTTTCAATATCATTAAAACAACATATAAATAAACAGAATTCCTACCTTTCTCTGTTTGTTGATTGTCCGTCACCGTACCGGACATTAGATACTATTGAGTCCAAACATTTTTCGCCGGGGTAGTTTAGGCACAGTGTGCATATAATTATCATTATCATATATTGTAACAGACAGTACGTATAATTATGTAATTGTTATTCCCTTGTTTAAAACTATAAAATTTCATATTTCTTTATTTAATAATTTACATGAAGCTTATTCAGTATATATTTGTTAAATTGAATAGATATTGATATTTTGAATTCATTAGTTAAAGATATTCATTTATATTCTAAAGTTTAGTTTTTGCATCGTCGCAAATCATTTATAACCTTCTTTGAAAAACTTATACATTTTATATAAATGGTTTGGAATTATTATGTTGAATTGTCTGAAGACTAATGTTCAGTCCAACGTAATGAAGAAAAAAAAACAACGTAGGAAAGCTGTGCTGTTCCAATCCTCCCTTTTAAGGTTAGTGCATACGCCTTCTTAATACCAGTAAATATTGAAGTCATTGAAAGCTCTACTTCTTAACTATTTAGATTTTAAGATAAAAGTTGTATTTATTGAACAAATTATATATTGTTTTCACTGTTTTTGGTTTTCATTTACTTAGATATTTAGATAGCGCTTTTACATTTGGCATCCATCGTCTCCGTTTAAATCAGTTCACAAACTAGAACAAGTGGTCCGCATCCCCTAATCTCCAGCAGAATTGCTCCTGCTACAATATATACGAATAATTAGCATGTTCCAGAGAGGTATACAGACAGTAAAAAAAAAAATTGAAGTTGGTACTCCAGGAATTTATTCGCATAGCAACATTTTAAACCAATTTTACTCCAAACATCTTAAGCCTGCTGGGGCCTCGGTTGCCGAGTGGTCTAAGTAGTTACAACTGTAATCACTAGCCAGTCAACGCTGAGGTTGAGTTCGAACCCCGCTCGTGCGGGTGCACTCGACTGCAATCTTAATTGACTAGGATTGTCAGTTTTCCTATCGAAGGTCGGTGGTTTTCTCCGGGTACTCCGGCTTCCTCCACCAATAAAAACTGGCCGCCACGAAATAGCCCAAAAGCGGTGCTTCAAAGTGACGTTAAAACACCAAAAATCAAAAATCAAATCAAATCTTTAGCCTGCTGCACTCGTTGTTTGCTACTTAAGGAGGAAAATGATAACACTGAGTGGAAGTTTTGTTTTTATTTCAATTTACATTAAAAAAAAAGGTATTTCTATTTTTACTATTTACCAAGACGTTTTTCCGTGAATCCATAATTGATAGCGTCCTTGCTAAAATGGGACAAACATTGAGAAGATCTAGATGTCAGTGTTTACAGGGGAGGTAATATTTTGTCGCTATATTTCCCACTGTAAAGGGAACATCTGAATATGATATTTTAGTGATCAATTTATAAAAAAAAGATAATAATGGAAAGAGAAACCATGATTAATGAATAGGCTGGTGTCACATCAATGGTTTGAAAATGAATATGTTTGAAATAAAGAATAAATTCAAATTGTTTGACATGCAGTCAAATCCTTATTCAATAGCTTCAAGCGTTTTTACGAATTAATACTTTATATCTAATGTTAAAAAATTAGGTTTTACTTGTTTCAATACTCACTGGGAATGCGACCTAGATACAATTTTTAACTCTAGTTTCTAATACTTACATCAAACAAAAAATTCTATGCCATCCGGGGAATGCTGGACCAAAATGTGCACTTCTGATAGAGTCTCCACGATGAAAATTTGCTATAGCATCGTATTTATTGGGCAATACACTCTGTGAAAAACAAACAAAAATGATAAGTATGATAAAACAATAAAAGAACAAGATCAAAAGAAGGCAATATTTCTATTTTAACCAGGAAAGGGATGGTTTAAATGGAAGTCTTTTCCAAAAGAATAACGAAATCGGAAATCAAGGTCCAAAATCTTTAGTAGGTCATTGAAGATCAAGATTTTACAAAATCAGCAAAGAAACAACAAAAAATATAAGCTTAAGCTCAATAACAGGAGCAATTGGAAAATCCAGTTTCAAAACCAAGAGGAAGTGAAATGTCAGATAGAATGGGAATAATAAACTACACACAAATTGAAATAAAGCACACAATATAATATTGAAAACAAGTACAAACAATATGTACCCCTTTAAAACACAACTTTAGTGAACTTGGGGATCCAGAAGGTCAAACAGTTCATGATCGACCAGTGTCATCCGCCGTAACCAAGATAAGTATAGATTTGGTGATTCTTTGCATTATTCTATTCGAGTAAACATAGCCGGGATTGTATTTACAATATTGTTCCATATCTGTGATCATCTGTGACACAGATATTTTACATTTTTGGTATATTCACAATACAAAAGTGTACTTAGTAACAAAGTTATATTAGCTGAGTCGGTGAACTGTCCATTCTAGGGCACATATATCAACTCTTAAATCAAAAGACATGTTAAATCACATAAAATAAAAATGCGTTTCCTAATGCAACAGTACTTCTAGTTCTGCTTTCCTTGTTTATAATTATCACCAAATGCAACGTATTGTCGGATTTCTAGCATGAGGAACACGACGGTAGTCATAGTTGGAGAAGAAACTCCTTTACCTTTCAGGTTAGCATCGGTGTTTCCCCTCCATCATCTCCCTTTCTTTGAGGTTCATTTTGTATTATTATTCTAGAGTATTGTAAACATTCGTTTTTCTTTTTGTCTTTTTTGTTTTATGGCTTGATGTTGTTGTTTTTTTCTTCGCCTTAAGGTTTTTATTTCATTGATTGCATATTCATACTATAGTTGTAAACTTCTATGTCATTCGGTCTTTGGTGGAGAGTTGTCTTATTGTCAACCATACCATACCTTCGTAATTTAAAAAAAAATGTTTAGTCAAAACTCCCATCGCTTTTCCTAAAAACAATTAAAATCGCAATGCGTTAACTGAATGAACAGATTCCACAAAGAGTGGATATGTATAGGACGTCAACTTGATTCTAATGAATGTAGATTGTAAGATGCTTATGTGTGTTTGTTTTTACATTTGATCGTTTCGCAGAACATACCTTGTCTTGTTTTAATAATTGTACAGCCCTATGATAATCGTCCCGTTCTTTTTTTGTTAACATTCTATATTCCTTTCTTTCCCTCAAAATGTTTTCTTTCTCCTTACGACCTTTGTCAAACAATCTTAAAACCCAACGTGATGTGTCCTCTGTAACTTCATACGGGAATATTTTCTTTGAATCAACCCATAGATGCTCCTGAACGCAAAATGTAGTTACATCTTCACCTGGATATTCTGTCGGACTGACACCATAGGTTCGATTCTTTAAACAGGACACCAAACGTTCAGGAAGTGGCATTTGGTAGATATTTGCGTCGCTACCATATTTTGAAACGATGGAAATAAGTATAATCAGCTGGATAGTTAGAACTAACAATATCTATGAAAATAAAATAAAAAAATACAAAATATAAATTAACAGCTCTAACAACAACAACATCGACAACAGTATTCACATGAACTGCAACGCACTATGTTATAGTTATTGACCAAGCAAGTTGGTATATGTCATTTAATCTGCACGGCTAGGGTGACCTTACTTCACCCGAATGACGTAGGAGTTCAGGTTAATGAGTCATCCCGACCGTGCAGATTAAATGATAAATACCGATTTGATTGGTCAATAACTGTTCTAACACATGACGCCATCAATTCAAGTTACACGAACGTTTTGGAAATATTCGGACGATATTCAATCCACGGCTCCTGGGAAGGTTTTATTGTAGGGTAAAGAAAGTGGAAAATACGCACTTAAGTAGTAAAAGGTTTGTAACTTTTGAATTATAATTTTTTTTTATATTCAGGCTTTCTCCTAAATTGTTATAGTATTTGGAAAATTGTGTTTTAATAGCAGATCATTGGTTGTTTCTATTAAATTTATTTACCATTTTTATGAAAATTAGTGTGATGATCAAATCAAATCAAATAAATTTTATTTTTATAAGTCGGCAAGATAAATTAAAATACAAAATGAGCTCTGAGTGAGCCGTTTTGAACCGACATAAACGATATAGAACTTGACATATTGTTTAGTATTGTTGAACACTATATGTTGCACTCTAGATCTGCATATGTGGTTTTTGTCGTTAAATTGCTATCTTATTGGCGTTTAACCGACATTTACTGCATTTTAAATTCCGATTGATGTACTTTTAAATCAGTGTATGACAAATCATAAATGAAAGGGTTATGGAGTATAGTTTAATTGCTTTTCTTTCCCTCAAAAATATGCTCAGGGGAAGATTAATCGAAGAGAGATGTACTTAACTCTATAGTGCAAAGTAAACAAGCAAATCACGTTCCACTTTTCAATCTTTAACTCGTCCCCCTTTACCCCCATAATTTTTCATCTTTATTCATTCTGAAGACATGTCCCATCTAAACGAAGTCTGATTGATCTACAACTTACTAATATATTTTTTTCTGTTTTGGCTCCTATATAATTGAATGTAAACCTCCTTAAATTCGATCTCAAAATGTTCACTTAAACGGAATTAATATTTAAAAAGTCGTAATAAATTCCACTGAGAACAAACTAATCCAAATCAGGTTTCAGCTATTTGGATATTTTAAGAAATTACCAAAAACATTTATCCTGTTTAACTTTGAAACACTGATTTTAGATTTTTAAATTGTACACATAATATACTAAAGTGTTCTAAGGAACGAGAAGCACTTTCTATTTCATTATTTGAAACAACAAAGTTATTAATTGATCAACTATGCCGTAATTGCAGGTCTGTTACGGATTCAAAATGAGGAGGCGAAGAGGTCGTACTCCCCCTTTGATTGGAAAATATATAATGATTAATTCTAAAATAGTCAAACTTTTATTAATGGAATTACTCCCCTATGCCTGGGTCCGCTATTTGAACTGTGCAGTAAATCTGCGGTAGTTAATGCACACCTTAGCTGTGCATTATCCAGAGCACAGTAAGAACAAAGATATTTTGCCTATGTCATGTGTAAACATATACTTATGAAAGTATCATAAAATTTACGCGGGGTCAATTAATCTTAGCAGTCCATCTACAGTGATCACTAGTTTGTCACCTCTGCAGGCTGATATCCAGTTGAAATTAAAAAAAAAGAAATGAAACTCTACTAGAGATTGTAAAAAAGGCCTAGTTGGTATATTTGAATTGTTTACATCTGTTTCTATGGGCTTTAAAAGTTTCATGTAGGTGCATAATTTAGGATTTTATACATCTTATAAACGTGTTTTTACTTAAATTATCGTATGGAGCGTCGAGATATTTGTAAACTTTCGAATTAAAGACAATTTTTACAAAACATTCGATTGTGGTAGGTGCAAAAACATGTGAATCTTTGTTGTGTATAAACATAAATTCCGCCGATAACAATTCCACAGAAAGATAAACGATTGATTCTTTTTATAGCATTGATTTGTATCTCTGCCCTCGGCGACAGTTTTTTGAAAAAAAATAGAAATTGTCTTTTTCAAATAGAATGCATTTAAGGTATAATTATCACAAATGTATATATAATATATTGTGTAAAGAATTTGAATAATATTTAAAAGCTATAATTTGAAGAGGAAAAGTAGAATGCAGTTATATTCATAATGGCATTTCGAAAATAATATGAACCATATGTTTCTTAAAAAACTCCCACAAAACCAATATTGTTTTTTTTACAAAAGAAATGCATCAACAAATTGTTTACCTTTATAAGAACTTACGATTCTTAGTATGCATGTACATTAAACGATTGATCTTTTTACAGCATTGATTTGCATCTCTGCCCTCGGCGAAAGTTTTTGGAAAAAAATCCTAAAAATGGGCAATCAAAAAGAGAAAGTCTAGTACACCTTTAATGTTCAGGCGTATTTGGGTTGACTATTTTTTCTTGAAAACGTACAAAGCATAAATATTTGATACATTATCAAGTTCGCTTCAGATTCTAATATTTTTTATATATTTAGGCTACATGTTGCTACAACATCAAATACTCACAGTGTTAAAAGAATGACATATATGGATCAAGTGGAGTACCTTTCTAATGAGCCATAAGAATAGAGTAGGTGTTTGAATAACAAATATTCAATGGAGACCCTTGACGTCAGACTTTACAAGTGGATCTTAAAAATTGCATTTCTTTAAAAAAAAAAACAAAAAAAAAAAACTTTTTTTTGTGCGTATTTTCTTAGGCAATTCGTCTTCAACCTCTGAAAATTTTTAGTCAGCCTTTCCATGAAATATTAAATTAGATTTGTTTTTGTGTTTTTGAATTTTCGAAAATTCCCCCTAACAACCAACCACACAATAGTTTTAAGTTGACTAAAGGGTTTAAAGCACATTAAACGGTGCTTAATAGCTAGTAGATACATTTGTTTTCAAAATACAACTGGCATACAAGGATCGTAATGATGCTATGTGGATACATTTTTCGATTTTAAACAATGGTTTCCATTTTATGATTGAGAACATTAGGTGGCGTAATGGGGAGATAATTTTGACGAAGTAGAATACTGATTGTCTGAGGTTGTTAGTTGACCAGGTGTGTTCGACTCCGATCTTAATTGACAATGATTGCCAGTTTTCCTGTCGAAGGTCCGTGATTCTCTCTTGGACATTTTCCATCTATCAACTTTTATCATTCAGTTAGTTTTTCGGAAAAGAGAGGTTATCGAATTAAGTATTAAAAGATTACAACGTTTTGACATTATCAAGCATATTAAATTTACGTTTCGGTGAAGGGTCGAAAGTTGTTTTTTTTTTCTTGTTACCACGGCTTCCTCCACCAACAAAACAGAACACCATGATTACATTAAGATATTGTTGAAATCGGCGTTAAACTTTCATATGGAGAATTTAATGTTAGTATCTTTGGGTCAGGAGGTTATTTTGAAAATGGAATATTCATTTTCACCTCTTTCAAAACAAAGTCTGCTGTATTATATGTCGGGCATTTTTTTTTTTCGATTTGCTTCATTTTGTTTCGCCTTAGATTCACTATACACTCCACTTTCTAAATTGGACGGTATATAGTGATGGGTGAATTGGTCCATCCGTCCGTTCTTTTGTCCCTCTGTCCATTCATTGCATTCATACCCAGAAAGTAGTAGACAAAACGAATCACATATAGCTCATGGAAAGTGGTTTTCTTGAACATTAAAACGACGCGCAGCAAGACAACCTTCTACTGTAGCCCCTGCTTCTTAAAGTTTTATATAGAAATAGCACTGTATCCACTTGTGTCCACTTTTTATTTTCTTTTTTATATATAGATATAACGATGAGTTCAGATTAGTACTGATTTGTTTAAGGTAGTACCTAACACTACAGGGAGATAACTCTGTAAAAATCAGCTAAACGTTTTAATTACGTTGTATTGTTAAGGAAATATTAAGCTTCTCAATGATCAAAATTAGTGTTTGTCAAATTGCTATATAACCAATGAAATTTTTCTGATAAAGTGGTTGGTTCAAATTTTTTGAAATTTTTATATTTTTGTCAAAGGGTCAAAGTAAACATTTTGTCAAATTTTTATGAAAATTAAACGAGCCAAATTAATATTAGTCAAGGTGTTGGGTACCACCTTAAGCCACGCATATATACGCGTCCCTGTATCACAGGACACAAAATGCATGCTAACTATATTTTGCAACGGAAATAGGACATATCTATTGTGAAGAGACAAACTGAGTTATTTAACTATTAAACATTTTCTAATCATATCGCTAAATATAAGTATTTGGACTTGTGGTTGTAAAATCCGTCATTCCCATTCTTGACTCTTACATATATTTTTGTTATGTTTTGTGTTGCACTCTTAAATCAAACAAATACAAATTAATGTATGAATGTATGAAGATCTACGTAAGGCTAATGCACGTCTTAAAATTTGGAGTCGACGTTAACTGTTCGCTTCATGTTGTATCAAACACACCACAAAGGTAAACTATTCTATTTCTTATGCAGCATAAATACTGCAATCTGATTGGTTAATTACCCAGGTGTAAATAACACCCCACCCTTGTTCACCCCGGGATAAATAAAATTTTGTCAAAAAATTTAAAATAATAAAATTTTGCCAAAATAAAGAAAAAAAAATAAAATGTTAAAAAAAAATGTAAAAAAAAAAATAAAAAATTAAAAATTAATAAATTTGAAGACAAAAATTTGTAAAAGAATTAAAAAAAATTTTAATATATATAAATTTTTTTTCCCGAAAATTCGAAAGAACACAAAAAATTCTGAATTTCCCAAAAATGAAGAAAAAAGTATTTAACAATGCGCAGCAACATCGACGTTGAAAAAATGTTACACTGGAAATTTTTCATTAGCATTTTTCAATTTTACATCCCGGTTTAAAAATGGGTAAAGGAATTGTTCATAAGAAATAAATTCGTTATCTTTGTGTTATCAGGGGTGTACGGAATTTTACACCGTTGTTGAAAATTCATACGCCCATTCGTCTGCGCCTCAGGATGTACATATCCAACAATAGCGGTCATCACGTGACTTTTACACCTCAGTTGTATATCAATGAAAATGAGCGGGGTACATAGATTAAACGGTCATAACTTTTTTGTTACATTGTGTATTTTACCTCCCAACCCCGCGTTTTACAGTATATTCATTTTTACAATTAAAAATGTTTTTAGTTTCAGTTCAGAAGATAACTAATAATACTACGCCGGGATACTTTTCAATGAAATTGCATTTTGAGAAAGTCCACACTTAAATCTTGTATCGGTATTAGTATTTAACATCAGCGCAGTATTTAAACCCCTTTCATAACGCGTCTAATACTCTGACTTCCTCCACCAACTAAAACTGGTCGATTGGATATAGTTAAGGTCGCTGAAGGTGTCATTAATCATCAACAAACAAATAAACAAACTTAGGTTATCGTGAATTTCATATTTTTTTGACAAATTTGCTTAGCTGTCTCATATGAAACTACTGTTAACTGTCTCTACTCTACTTGCAACAGCATTCTTGTAATACATGTAGCAAAGCAATCAACAAATTTAATTAGAAATTTTCGGAAAATGAACTGTTCATTACGCCTCTTGGAAGGAGAAAATGAGCACTTGGTAATATAAGAGACATATCATATGAAACAAAAGCTATTTCATCAAAATACCCAAATGTGCATGGTTTTATGCAAAATAGTAATTTATTGCATATATTTAACTCAATTTTACAACAAAAAAAAATATGAAAAAAGAAGATTTAAAATTTATTTAAAGAAAAGAGAAACCAAAGAAAACGAGAAATAAAAAGACAAATAGAGATCGAAATATGATATTCAGCAAAAGACAAGTGGCCATACAATAAATATTCCTTTTTTTTCATTTTTGTTTCAATCAAACAAAAGTTTCTTTTGTTACAGCTTTAGAATATAATGATAAAGATGCAGGGGGCAAAGGAGGGGGAGGTGGCGGGGGTAATTTTGCAAAATGTTTTAAATAGTTTTACCTGCAAGTTGACAATTTTGAATTGGTTTCAACATTCTACAATTGTTTCGTCTTTCTTTTCATCACATTTCCTGTCAAAAGGTTTACTCACGTTTGAAGTGTATCCTTTTTATTTACGTTTGCGTGAAAAAGAATACATGGTCATTCTATAAGCACCGTGGTTTGCTGAAGAAAAACTATATAACGTGTAATGTTATAAAAACTCACCTCCATTCTCGCTGCCAGCAACAAACTACATGCATACTAAGAGTCGTTAGTTCTTATAAAGGTAAACAATTTGTTGATGCATTTCTTTTGTAAAATAACAATAATTGTTTTGTGGGAGTTTTTGAAGAAACATATGGTTCATGTTATTTTTGCAATACCATTGTGAATATAACTGCAATCTACTTTTCCACTACAAATTATAGCTTTTAAATATAATTTAAATTCTTTACACTATATATTATATATACATTTGTGATAATTATACCTTAATTATTTGTGTATTTAATAGAAAAAACAAAGGATTTTGGGTATCAATCCATGACACAAAATCAGAACATGCACAACAAAAAAAAATAAAAAAAAACAAGTTGCTTTCTTTAAAAAAAGAAAAGCAACACGTGAACTGAGACCGCTGACTGGTCACCAAATATTTTTTGCTGAATTTATTTTTGCTTTTGATTTGAAATAAATGACTGTTAATAGAATGAGGTAATGAAGATATTAAAACACCTTTATTGAAAATATGTTATTGTCTGTAGTTCTTGCACAAGTCAATTAAAAGGACTGTTGGATTTTAGTTGTAAATAGAAAATTGTATACAGCTACCATTTGAAATTATCTGTTAAGGCTCGACTATTTTATTTATTACTTGGGAGTGTACATAATTTTTTCTCCGTGTTTTATGTACAAAGACCTAATACTATTACAATTCTCAATTTCTACAAACCGGATGTCTAAAGCAAATTGCACGACCGATCAAGATATAAAGTTCAGCACTCAGTTTGCTTCATAATCTGGATGCGTTTATTTTACAACCGCGGTATCACAGATTTCAGTCAGATATTGTTATATTTATCAGGTAGAACACATGTAAAAAATGCCGTTCACAACACATGACGACGAATAAATTTTATAGGTTAAAATTGTAGGACGATCTTTGTAAGCAGATGAGTAATAAATATATATTCTTTATGTAAGTATACTTCCTACAGAAATATGACGAAGTCTTACTTCAAAAACCTATAACTGTAGTTTAATTTGTTCAAATACTAAATCAATCTCACGAGTTAAGTTGGGCCGTTAAGAAATAAAATAATCCCTGGAATTGTCCGATTCCAACATAAAACCCTTTCTTACAAGTGTGGGATGTATACATTAATCATTACAGCCGCGTCAGGTTGGATTAGGTACCTCGCGTATTCAGAATGATTTTTACGATGATCTCTGATGTTAAATATAAAACTTGCGACAACTCTTTGATGGGATATGCATGATATAATTGCCACTGAACGTAAAGCTAGCAACACACGACAAATCAAAACTTTAAACAAACTTTATGTATTTCGGTAGAAGCGAAGAAAAAAACCCCGTCTTTTGCTAACCCGAATAATTCAGTCCCTCCCCGTGATCGACTCTCCCACTCGCGAGGTTAATGTAGCCATCGTAGAGCAGTGGAATATAACGACTGAATTATTCGGGTTGGTCTTTTGCTTATTTATCACCGTACTATATAGCTTCCTTGATGCCGTAAGTAACCGAGACATAATTCGTCAACACAACGTTCTATTTAAAAAAAGAGGCAATTATGACGATATTTTGACAAAAACAACTATATCTTTTAAATAGATGATACTTTTTTACGGTCCGACACGGCAGATTTTATAGTTCTCATTTGCCTTTGCGCGATGAAAAATGGTACCAATGTATTCGTTTATACAGTTTTATATCATTTTCTAAATGTTGAATTAAAATGAAGTTAAATAACTGGCAATAAGAAACCACCGCACTTAGTCGGCTCACTTCATTTACAACAAACTGATAATTAATCAAACACTCAAGGAGACTATCTGTTTGATGATAATATTTTTACCCATGATTCCATAGTTATAAAACGAGATTTGGGAGGACCACCTGGGGACATCGTGATCGCCTTACTATATAGTACAGCTTGCACACTTCGTCTAGTAATGGACTTCTGATCATACTCATAGTATGCAGTTGTCAATATTGACGGATATAAGACGAGAAGAGACTGAAGATAACGCAATATTTATAACCCCACTCGTCACACCTTGTGGTCAAATTCCATTGTTATTCCTAACAATGAATCTATTCAATTAACACTTGTTTCAGAAATCGAAACTATTAAATAGAAAAATAGAACTGGCGTATAATACTACGTGGATCAAAATTAACCTTTTTCAATTTAATGCAAATTTTCGGTTCGGAAAACGTACCACAACTCTGCAGTGCTAAATTAGAAATTATTGGATCCTTTATAAAACAGTCTTTAAAACATAGTGCAGGAGACTCATAATCTTTTCAACTTCATTTCATGCTACTTTTGTTTTTACAGTTAACAATATTTTTAGTGGTGAACTCAGGGATTTTATAAAAAGGAGTAAGAAAACTACTAGACAGCAGTGAGGAATCAGAAAAATGCTATGTAATAAAACATATTCTACTAAAGGAGGCCTGCCCCCGTCCCCACACAAAAAAAATCCATGAAGAAAAAATAAAAAAAACACACACACACTTAATCCGCCCCATTTCTATTCCCATTGACAATAACATTTGAATTAAATTTCATACATAATTAACAATGAAATGAATAGTTCATCAGCTTAACACACTATCTGTATGTACGGCTTAATCCAAATTATCTATGCTTACAATATATTTTTGACATCACGAATATATACTGTACATGTAATTTATAAGATATGACAAACAACAATATATAGAAATGACGTACGATACTTGTTTATAACATGTAAGTGTTAGTACACCATTTTCAAACTGACGAATGCATTGATTTCATGCCTTGAAATGTACTTAATTTAAACCTTTGTTTATTGTTTTTAAACGTAAATACACTGACACATAACATTTTAAGCTATAGGAAATTTGTATAATCACTCGAGAAAAAAAACGGACGCACTCGAAAAAGCCCGGACTGCTCTCGAAAAAACCCGAACATAAATACATGAATTTAGTCTCAAAATGTCGTTTTCAATGCAATAACAAGAATTTTTGTAAAGTGTCTGTATTTCTAAGGATATATAGATTCCATGTATGCATTTCCTTCGACATTTGCATTGGTATGTGTATAAAAATAGCTGTATTTTGGAATAAAAGCATTTTAAGGCTAATTTTAACTTTTTTTAACGAAAAATAATGTCTGATTAATAATATCTTTTTATAACAAATACTAACATACATTGTATAACCTTGTATATTAAACTCAAGCGTCTATATCACGTCTTGTTAGATAGGAAGTCTGTTAGTTTACATTTTTGTTCATATTCACCTCGAAAAAAAGTGGTCACACTTGAAATTAACCCGACCAAATCACTCGAAAAACCACGATCCTAGCCGGACACTATATCTACCGTGAGTTTATACATTAATTTAGATACTAATTTATTTGTGTTCATTCCTGATAATTGTTACTCATATGTTCCGTATGATTTTCATAAATGTATTCACTGTTAAAACCGCGGGGTGATAATATATAATTATATTCTATTAATGATAAATTTAGTTTTATGTTAAACTTTAATAATTTTTATGAATGTTCCCTTGGTCTGTTAGTATCTATTAACGAAAATAACGATTTTAGAACCAATATCGTTTTGTTTAATTATATCTTTTTGTTTTCCGACCTAAGATAAATATTTTAAACAGTAATATCGTTTTGTTCATTTTCTTCTTGTATTCCGACATTTGCTCAGGCTATGGTTGAATTACAAATATGACATGTTAAACGTTCAGAAATAATCAGTTTATTCTGGGACATAATTTAATGTCAGTATATTATTCCCATGTGTATTGTCACAATGGAAAATAGTGTAGAATTTAATAATGTCCCCCATGAAATAATGTCCACCGGACATTATTTCATAGTAAATACTGTCCATGGACAATATTTACTTATTTAACTGTGTCCCGGACACAATTTTCTATGAAAATATGTCCTCAGGTATGAAAAAGTGTCCATGAACATGGACATTATTTTTTACTATAATTCTGTCCAGGTGGACATTTTTTCACAGGATATTATGTCCGCCAGGACATTTTTTATATGATTAAAGTATTAAATGATATCCATTGCCTTGTTATTACTGGACGTATTTTAACCTATAATTGCAAACTTTAATACATTGTTACTTTGACAGAGAGTTGTCTAATTGGCACTCATACCATCCTTATCTTCTAATAAATATTTTTTAATATATATACATGTATAATGATTGAAATTCAAACAAGTAACAGATGTTGTTCAGTATTATTTTCTTTCGAGGACACATTTTAATAACAATTACTACGAAAAAATTGTCCCGTAGGTGGATCATATTTCATAACTGTTGCTGTAAAATGCTGTCCACTTAGTCATGTTAGGGACAATATTTCATGGCAATAGACATTATTTGATACCGAAATTCTATATTTTCTTTTTCCTTCTTCTCATGATAAATATAGTAAAGTTCTTCACATTTGATTTTATACTTTACTCACTTCCTTCTTATTGTTCTTCTTTCATTGTCATTAGCATTAGCTGGGTATTTCTTAGAACTTAAATGTCTCTATATTCACTTCCATCCATTATTTGTTTGTTTACATTTGTATATTAATCAATTTCTAATCAATCGTTTAGATTTTATTAAAATTCAAGTATGATAAAACTTTTTAATGACCTTTGTATCATTTTCCTTGGAGGACACAATTTAATAGCAACTACTATGAAAACTTGTCCTGTGGGTAGACACTATTTCATAACTTCTGCAGTAAAAATCTGTCCACTTGAGGGACAATTTTTCATGGCAATGGACATTATTTAATACCAAAATTCTATGAAAAACTGTCCAGGTGGACACTTTTTCACAGGACACTATTATGTCTTACAATAGCATGAATTTTTTGTGAAACTGTATTTTATTTATCTCTGTACATTAGTTTTTGGTATGATATTCTGTACTATCACTCTCCTTGTTTGTTTCGTGTGTGTGTTCTCCTCGAGATCGGGAGGTCGTGGTTCGAATCTCGACCGGGTCTAACAAAGACGTAAAAAATGGTACATGTATTTGCTGTTTCAACGCTAAACTAGCGGTATTTGAAAGTAAGAGCACAGACTTGTCGGTTCGGAGCCAGAAATGTTTCCGGGTAGGGTTGACTATTCTTCCTGCGAAATGATATCTTCATGTGAACTTACACGTAAAAAAAACTGGTTCAGCGTGTCGATCTAGTACAAAGCAGGGTTAATACTCATATTATATTTACATGTAATTGTCCTGAATATTAATTAATTATTTCATATTGATAGAATTTTAGTAGGGTTTTCTATATGAACTGGATTTTGAATAAAAAAGCATATTCACCTGCTGAAAAAGTATATTCACCGCGGAAAACGCCGTGCTTTTACGTGTATAATAACGGTAAAATGTTTGACGTACAATTGGTTTTAACAAATAACTGTTATTAAAAACATATTTTTCTCTTTCCGAACATGGAATAAAACAATTACTGTATTTTGTTACGGTAAATATGTGGTTTAATTGACTTTTGAAAAACGTAGTGACATTCACTTCAGCCGTTGGCCTCAGTGAATATTCAGTTTTTCAAAAGTCAATAAAACCACATATTTACCTCATCAAAAGACAGTAATATTACACCTCCTTTAATTTCCACCGATCGAAATTAAAAAAAAAAATAATAGCAGGTGATGTTTTTCAACCAAACACTTGTGCTTGTCAGGATATCTTTAACGGTAAATAATAATAAATCAAATGTCCCTGTTGTGATAGATATTGTTGAATTAACTCCGTAATTTTTAGTCATGGGACAGTTTTGAGCTTATTCTGTATCTTTCTATAACAAAAGACTAAGTTGACTTATAGTTGATATAGAAATATTGACATATCTGGATCTCTCCAGTCCGACAGTATACCCTTGCCAAATGGGTGTGTCAGTTTGGCTGTTCGGCTGCTTTTATAACAATTATTATACCAGATATAAAAAAAAAACAAACTTGAAACAGCAAATTTTGTCTCTTAGACCCCGTTCATACTAGGACATTTAGATCAATTTAAATTAGATCGGTTCACTTCAGTGACTGCCGTCGTTGTACGCTTATGATTTATTGCCACTCAATGCAGAATTTTTTTTCTGTTCTTCTCCCCTCCTCCTAGTATGGTTGGATAGGATATAATGTAACCCCTAATGTGGACTACGTTATTTTATGTTTAAAAAGATTAAATGCAAACAGAAAAATAAGGAAAGAAATGCTGAAATTAACGCTTGAAAATTAAATTTATAAATATTAGTAAACTATCTGAGATAACTATCAACTGAAGACTGTCATGCATATTTACGACGAGATGTAAAGTGGATCAAAATCAAGCAAATCATAACAATTTTAGATTGAGCGTTGACTAGAGGTAAAACGTATGCCGTAATAGAATAAAGTTGAACCACGATCAAAATCGTAAGTTAAGTTATGAGCCCCCCTCCCCCCCTTTTTTTTTCTCCGGTAGACAAATGCCAAAAACGAAACGATATGAATTCACAATACATAACGGCCACTGTAAGTAAATGAGATATGGGCTTATTTTGAAAATGAATTCCTTTTGTGTCTTATTAGTCATGCCCGATTGACTTTTAGTAAAAAAAACCTGCAACTTAAAGACCTACACCGGGTTAATAAGTTCGAGGTACAATAAGTAAACAAAAGAGATCTTTTGTGTAGTGAGATCGTCCCAGGAATCTTAGATAATTATTTTGCTTCGAATAACAATGAAAAATGCACGAACAGGTTTGTAAAGATTGTAATTGAATATTTTGGAGTTAATGCATGAATGCCGTTATTGCTTCTTATGGTAAAAATCTGGAAATGTGAATGGTCCAATTGTTAAGAAAAATAATTTGACGCTTGTGCATTAAATTACCAGCCGAAGTGACGTTAAGCAACAAATACTCAATCAATCAATCAATCAATCATTTAAGACACTATTATGATAATATCAGAAAAAAAAATATGCTTGGCTTTAACAAATACGTCGTAAGCAAAATAAATTACGATGTATTGTTCTGAAATACACAAAAGGACATGTTGGCCAATGTTGTCAATGAGACAGCAACAAACAACACAAACACCAAAAGATATCTAAAGGTCTTCATCCCAACATACTTTACAGACCAACATTTGGTAACTGATGAATCCAAAAATAAATGTTTGCATATCTATAAATGTCTGTATGTGTGTTTCTTTTACTGATTTTAACAATTTTTGTAGAAAATACAAACTCCATGCAAACAAATGTTCAAAAAGAATCAAGCCCAGGTCTTTTTGGATATTCATAACGTTTTGAGGATCAAATAGACATAAAGATTCTAGAAAAAAAACAGGCATTCTTCTTACATGTTATGGAATGATAAGTTTGTTTTTCATATGAAGTTGCATTTACTTAAATCGTGATGCAGTGCCTTACAACGCGAAGGATAGAGCTTATGTGACTGAAGCACTATACAGTACCTGATTATTATCTCCAATACAAAGGAAAGTAATACCAGCAGATGAAAATAATAAACGAGAATGGAATAATATTTTACTGAAACATGACAGATGTTTTTTCTTATCTTTTAAAAAAATTCAGGTGACAACTATAGGATCATTCATTTGAATTCTTTTAATTTTCCAAAAACACCATTTTAGAAGTACATAATTTTTATCAGTTTAAATTGAATTTTTGTTTCTAATGTTTGATAAATATCCAATAAATAATCGTTGCATCATGCTTTTTCCCATGGCCACAAGTCTAGAAAATTACAGAAGAATTTGATATACACTCCGTCATCGTTAGAACGAGGACAGTTTTTATCGTTGGTATTATGCAAATTCCATCTTTTCGATACACTTTCTACATAAGAATAACTATACATTCGAGGTTTTCTGGTATCTATCTTTAAGCAGCCTGTACACGGTACAAATTTTTTCCGATATCTTCTGTGTCTGCAATAGGGTCGGCATAGCCTGCCACCTGAATCAAATGCTGTTAACAATACGTGTGTCGCTTTGTGATTCATTGGTTTCCGAACAGGTAAATAAGTCATTGCTTCACTTATCCCAAACCTAGCGTCTACAATTGCATATTCGATTGCCCTTCCGTCGTAATTTGTGCCTTCAATATGAACATTCACCCTTTCGAATCCCGAATCAAGGGTAATATGTTTGTCGTATGCCTTCGGATTAGATTTTGTTATGTTCTTGCTCCCTTCAAAATATATATCATTTTTGTTTGATGGTACACCCTTGTGAATTGGAAACGATTTAAACTTGACATTTCGTGGACGTTGGAACACTATCAAGCAGTTTATATAAACCCATTGTTTGGAATCTGCATTTCCATTGACTTCGAATCGATTTTGCACCGTGTTTAGAAAACTTGGAGTTGAATCCAATCTATTGAGATTGGCTTTATTTGTTTTTGGAACACAAACCCATTTTGATTTGTTACAATCAAGCCAGGGAGACCCACAGCTTGGCTTACTTCGACTGCAAGACGGGAAGGATTGACACTGGTAAATTTCTTTAGTGAAATGGTTAGAAAACCCATCTATATTTCGAAATTTCTTAAAATCATTCGCTTTATCGGATATGGTGAATTTGTCTGATATGCCGAACCCTTGATTTGTTATTTTTCCAAAACCATCCATCAAATCGTAACGTCGGTGTCCTTTCTTTTTGGTATAAGGATAATCTTTCTCTGGATTGATTCTATTTGCATTTTGTTTTTGTCTAAATTTTTCCCACCAGCAATCAACGAATGCATGCAAGTTCCAGAACAGAGGATCCTGTGGTGCAGTTGTGAGTTTTGCCATATTACCGCCGACAAAAGAATGACATTTACCATGAAGTTCCTCTAGGAAATAGCGCCTACTTTTACTGTTCGTTATCTGAGCGTGACGTTTTCTAGATAAAACATCATATACATTTTTCTTCGTTAGTAATTCACCTCCCAGACCCCCGACATTGCGTGTTACATATCCTCCTCCCTCATGCTTCCAGTTGTCATATGGAAGCCCAATTTTTCCATTCGGATTTCCTGCAAACTTTTTCGTAAATAAACATGAATCTGATGGATTGTTTAATTCATTGTCAAGAGTTGGATCCCAGTACGGACACGCCATTCCCAAAGCAGTTTCATATCTGCAAAAATATTGACCACCATAATTATATTTAAAATAAATGGTATATAAAACTAGGAGATGAGGTATGATTGCCAATGAGACAACTATGCAAAGTTCAAATAAAATGGATGTAAGCAATTATAGGCAACTGTTAGGCCTTCAACAATAAGAAAAACCCATACCGTATAGTCGGCTATAAAAGGCCCCGACATGAAAAATATGAAACAATTTAATTGAGAAAACGAATGGCCTAATTTATAACAAAACAATTAACGAAAAACAAATATGACAGACATGAACCAATAACATCCACTGAACTACAGGCTCCTGACTTAGGACAGGCACATACAGAATGTGGCAGGGTTAAACATGTCTGTGAGCGCTCAACCCTCCCCTTAACCTTGGACAGTGATGTAACAGCACAACATAAGAACGAACTATAATAATCAGTTGAAAAAGGCTTAATTCATCAGATCGATATAAAGCAGAAAACATCAAACATAAACACAGACTGAACGTGGCAGGGTATTCCTCATCCCTAACAACAAAAAGGGCACTAAGTACAGATCTGAGAGTACTAGTTCAAAGCCAATAACAACTAATAAAATAAATCATGTATCTAAGACTAAAATATCAATCAGTACACATCCAACATCCAATGGATTTAGTGTAAAGACGTCATTAACAGTCAGGGAAAAAACATGACCTCGTGCAATGCCAAAATAAAGATATCGACAGATTGTAGTACCACTAAAGTGCATATGTGTATAACAAAACTATAGTTTACTTCACTTTCAATTTGATATATATTTTTCTTAAGTTGTAGGTTTAAGATTTTCATAAATAAATCAGAATGATTGTTGAATTATTTATGGTTAAAGCTATGAAATTACTGACCATGGCCGTCCTCTTTTAGATAAGTATAGTAATACTCAAGGTGTATAGTAATGAATTAAAATTATAAATTTTTGTGACATTTAAATGCTGTCTCAAGACTTTAATTTTCTAGACCATAAAGACTATCTGCAACAAAAACATACAAGTGCTTATTGTAGCCAGGGAGTCAGTCTAAAAAATGATATAGTTTAGATCCTCACATATTATATACAGGCGGAAACCCAGTTGAAATAGAACAAAAGAATCGAAGCTCTTTGTTAGAGAAGGCGATAAATGCTTACTGTAATGTTTACTATAGTAACAAAATTTTTAAAATTTAATAGAAACAAATAAAATGACAGTTTTCGGCTAAATTACGAAGTATTTTATCATAAAAACACAATTTGCATAAGTTTTCAATTTATCTATTACATAATTAAGCAGAACAATTAAATATCAAGTCGACGACATGGGTGTCTATTCAGTTGGATCTAAAAAATGCATAACCTCCGATTTTTATTTTTTTATTACCACGGACGGAGAACATATCAATCGGTTTGTTCCTTAATTTTCGTCTCTGCCCTTCCATTATGTAACTCAAGAAAAAATTCAAAAAAATGGGTAACAATTGCATCGAAAAGATAAAATCGAGTGCACCTTTTTATGTTTGGGCGTGTTTGGGTTAAATATTTTGTCTTGAAAACGTATAAAGCAAGAGTATTTGATACATCATCTCGATTCAGATTCTATTATTTTCATATATCAAGGCTACAGGTTGACTTTATAACATCGAAAGTTCACAGTACTAAAAAATTAAATATATGGGTCAAGTGCAAAACCTTTCTAATGAATCACAAAAACTGAGTAGGTGTGTTCGAATAGCAAATTTTTACTAAAAGTACTTGACGACTGACTTTTAAGTTGGATCTTCAAAATGCATTTCTTCGAAAAAACTTCATTGTTTGTGTGTGATAATTAGGGTTTATGGTCTTGAACCACTGAAAATTTTTAGTCTGCCCTTCCACGAAATGTTTAATTAGAATTTTTTTAAATGTTTATAAATTTCCGAAAATTCCACCTGACAACCGATCCCACAATAGTTTTAAGTTGACTGAATGCAGACAAGTACATTAACTGATGCTCAATAGCTAGTAGATACATTTGTCTTTTAAAATACACCTGGCATATTAGGATCTTTATGGTGCTATGTGGATAAATTTATCGGTTTTCAAGAGCTAAATTGGAAGCGCGTCATCCCTACAATGGCTTCCATTTTTACGATTGTAAAAATGAACTGGCGTAATGAGGAGATAATTTTGACGAAGTAGAATCCTGACTGTATAGACACCTGTCTATTGTTAAAGCATTTCAGTTGACCTCAATACGTCTTTTGGTAATTCTTATCGTTGGGTTGGTGTCTCATTGGCGTTCACCCACAACCTTTTTTCCATTAACTTTCACAAAAAAGCTTAAAAGAGGGACGAAAGATACCAGAGGGACAGTCAAACTCATAGATCGAAAACAAACTGACAACGCCATGGCCAAAAATAAAAAGACAAACAGACAAATAATAGTGCAGATGACACAACATAGAAAACTAAAGACTAAGCAACACGAACCCCACCAAAAACTGGGGGTGATCTCAGGTGCTCCGGAAGGGTAAGCAGATCCTGCTCCACATGTGGCACCCGTCGTGTTGCTTATGTTATTACAAATCCGGTAAATAGTCTAATTCGGTAAGTCACATTCGTGAAAAGGGAAGGGTATTGTAGTTACGACATAAGGAACATATCCGATATCATCTGTGAAACGGTTATTCCATAACGGTCAACCAACTCGTGATGGCGTCACTTAATTGTTTCAATGACTGATATTCTTTCTTAAATTTGAGGGTTTTGAAATTAATTTGCAACTCTGATATTATCATATAATAGAGCTAAAATTAACATTTTTCAAACTAATTACTCCATAAAATATCCGAAAGTTGTAAGCTATTCGTTTGTCCGACATTATTTTATATATTTTTGTAAGTGGTTAACAAGTATTATCGATCGTAAGCACCATACATGCCAATTATTTTGTGGCCTGTTTGGTTGGTGATCGAAGAAGAAGCCACAAAATATAAAAATAAAAATAGGCAAAAATAAAAAGAGTACCATGGAATTCAAAATTTTACTGAAAATACTGGGATAGACATCAATGAAACACATATTCAACGACAATAAAAAACCAAAAGACATCTACAGCTGAAGCTATGATCCACATGCGCTGGAGTATAGGATATAGCGGTATTGTATTTTTAGTTACACTGTGTGGTAGTGTTTCCTAACACACTGCTTAACGAATATATTTTACCTACAATCTTAATATTGGGAATTTAAACGTGGTTGTAATAAACGATATACTTTTCTGTTATTGATATATTGATCAATATTACTCATAAAGCAATATTTGGTGCTAGTGGACTATTTCAGCGATAAAGTCTTCATATTAAGACCATACTTGCACTGGTGTATAAAACAACAAATGCAAACAATAGCAATATAATTTCAAAGATCCTTGACATCACAATTTTAACACAACGTCAAACAGAACCTTTATTCATCATTAATGAGAAAATCAGCGTAACACATGTGTTTGCCTATTAACCTTGAAAAGTATAATTATGTATGTTTATTTATGGCACCAGTTCCAATGTTATAACAGGAGACCTTAACATCGTTCGTGACCGAGAGTTGAAATCATTCCTCAGTAAAGGACCTAAATATCGTCCCCCAATTATTAGTTGGAATGAGTGTCGTAACATCATCCACGACTCACTCCGTACTTACTGCTCGAAATGAATAAAACGCGAAAAAGCTGACAAGAAATCCTTAGATTCTTTTTTTTAATTCAGTAATGCACATAGTTGATATACGTATACAACATTTTAAAGAACAGTTCACTCCTAACAACAACCATAATAGCCCTATTTCTCGTAGCAAACATAAGCTAAAAGAACTCGCCAAGGAATTAATTTTTGTCCCGGCTGATGAGGCTGCTAATAATATCATTATTGTTTGACGTAAATTTTACATTGAGGTTCTGCAAAACGAAATCACCAATTCACCAACATTCCAACTGACTCCATATTCGGAAAATGACATCTGTAACAAACATAAACTTTTAGCTTTAGCTACCTCTTTACAAGCAGAACCAAATACAATGAAAGTTCCAACTATGTACTGGCTTCAGAAGCTGCACAAAACACCTTACAAATACAGATTTATTTCGTCTTCAGGCCATTGTTCCACTACTAAACTGTCTATTTTACTTACAAGTACACTTAGAACAATCAAATACCTGGTAATAAATTGTTCATATAAGGCCTTTGGAAATAGTGGAATAAATTACTTTTGGAGTGTCAAAAATTCTTTGGAAGTACTTGATAAATTGCATGCTTATATTGGTGATTTCGAATCTGTTCAAAGTTTAGATTTTTCTACCTTATTCCACTTTGCCTCATAATCTTATTAAGAAAAAAATCACACACTTAATTAAATGGGCATTTAAAAAGTCAGATTGCGAATATATATGTTCAAACTCTTTTAGGTCATTTTTTAGTAACAACAAACAAAAGAACTATGTCAATTGGACCTGCTTTGATACTATAACTGCCCTTGAATTTTTACTAGATAAAATTTTTTGTTCGCTATGGAGATCCCGTATATCGTCAAGTTATCGGAATTCCCATGGGGACTAACTGTGCACCACTTATTGCGGACCTGTTTCTGTATTGTTATGAGTTACAATTTATGACTAAAATCAGCAAAGACCCATCGAAAGAACATCTGACACAAAAATTTAATAACACTTTTAGATATTTGGATGATCTATTGGCTCTCAATAATGACGACTTCAGTATGTACACTAAAGAGATTTATCCTGCTGAACTGATTTTAAATATAGCTAACATTAACAATGACCACTGCCCTTTCCTGGATCCTTATATCTATATCTTTAACGGGAAACCTAATACCAAAATTTATGATAAAAGAGATGATTTTTCATTTCCTATTGTTAATTATCCATTTTTAGATGGTGACGTTTCCTTGTCACCATCTTATGGTGTTTATATATCTCAACTTGTTCGATTCGCTCATGTATGTTACAACGTATTTGATGTTAACGAAAGAAATCTATGTATTACTGAAAAATTATAACGCCAGGGTTTTCGATATCACAAACTAGTCAAAACATTTACTAAGTTTTATCATCGGTACAAGGACATTATTCGTAAATATAAATCAACATGAAGACATCTTATACGTTCAGGTATTTCACATCCAATCTTTTATGGTAATATTCTTTACAAAAATGTCGGCATTCACCTCAAAAGCTAACCAAACATTTAAACAGACTTATTCAGAGGGGATATAGTTACGATTCTGTTGTAAGGTCATTGAAGATGGTATATTTTGGTATTAATATTGATTCACTCATAGGGTCTTTGTAACGGAAATACACACATTTTTTCTAAAACCAGTTGCTGGCATGATACGGGTTATGTTCTTCTCGTATATTTTATGATGGTATGATACTAAACCCCTAACGGGAGGGATTGTGCATGATTATTTTCATATGATAAAGACATAATCTTTCAATCAGTTTAATTGCAGTCTGGAGCTGGTATGTCAGTAACTGCTAGTAGTCCTTAAGTTTGTTAATTTATGTATCATTGTCATTTTGCATAGTTTCTTTTGTTACTTCTTCTGACATCGGACTCGGACTTCTTTTAAAGTGAGTGTTACTGTGCTTATTGCTGTGTGTCTGTTTATTCTACATTGGCTAGAGGTAAAGGGGGAGGGTTGAGATCTTACAAAACATGTTTAACCCCGCCGCATTTTTGCGCCTGTCCCAAGTTAGGAGCCTCTGGCCTTTGTTAGTTTTGTATGTTTTTTTTTTTAAATTTTAGTTCATTTATATGTTTAGGAGTTTAGTATGACGTCCATTTTTGCTGAACTAGTACACATTTTTATTTAGGGCCAGCTGAAGCCCGCCTCCGGGTGTGGGGTTTTCTCGCTGTGTTGAAGACCCATTGGTGGCCTTCTACTGTTTTCTGCTCTTTGGTTGGGTTGTTGTCTCTTTGTCTTATTCCCCATTTTTATTCTTAATTTTATTACAATGTATGCTAATATTAGAACAACACCGTGGTTTTTTAAAGGAATGTAACTCTACTACTAACAACTACATGTACTAACCGTGTAATTAAAATATAACACGCCCACTGACTATTGTTTAAAAAACGACACGCCCAATGACCGTGTATGTTTCCAAGTATTCGTTTTTAACCAATGATGTTCCCAGAACTTATTAGGAAGTAAGAGAATTATCATTCAATGCAATAAATATTCAATTAACTATTTTAATATCACACATCTAACCATGCTGAGATTTCTTGTTTTATTTCGAGTGATTTAACTCTGATATAACCCCTTTTATACAATCCACACTGTATCAAAATAAAACCACAAAGCTAGTAACTCGACGCCATCTTATGCAAAATCCAAAATTTTCGTGCTCGAATATTATATTCTCAAATATAGGGGAATCTACTTTTCAAACAAATTTTACCAAAGGAAAATAATATTTTTACAGGATTTTTCGAAACTCACCGCGATAATCTTTTGATGTAGACTTTTTTACAAGATGGCATCGAGTTGCTGGCCTTGTAGTTGTTAGTTTTAAAGGTACATTCACTCAAAACTAGATGAGATATGTACATTATTGTTTTGTGTGTTGTATCGAAATCGAAAATTGATTATTAAATGCATGTGCATAAGGCATTACAAACAAATACAATATTTCAAGCTCTAAAATGCTACAAGTCTAGCAAAAAAAAAAACAAAACAAAAAAAAACAAAAGGTGCATAAATTGCGTGCTGGTAGTTTATGCCACAGGGTAGTGATATGCGTGAAGTGTGATAGAAAGTCTATGATTTGTTTATTACCGCTGGCTAGAATACTTGTGTGAAAAGAAAGCCGAGTACGTAAGTCTTTCCTGCCAGTACATAGCTTCTATACTACCAAGACTTCTGCAGTGCCTCGCCACGACATTGCACGTAAACTGGGGTCTAGTACCTAATGCTAAACTGCAGGAGATATCGGAGCAGCAATGACCCTAGAGATGCAGTGTGTAGTCCCACCGGTGTGTGGACATGCCCTAGCACTCATCAAACTTGCCCCAGCATGGGTAAATAGTCGGTTAGATGAGAGTCGTAGCCCAGTAAGACAACTCAACTAGGGGATGGTAAATTTCGAAAACAAACCTGATAGAATGAATTCATTAGCTCAGGACATCAGTCCTTCTAGGGGTTGGAAACCTTGACCATAAATTCCCTGGCCCTCCAGGTTGGAGTGATTGGCATAGGGTCAACTCCCCCATCCTGTAAAAGCAATCACAGTTGCAGAAACTACAACAAATAAAATTAGAATACCCTCTGTTATAGGTTCAACGGGGGACTCAAACAACAGCGGAATGCCTTCTCCTAGTGAAAGCCCTAATGTGGAAACTAGGCAAATGAATATGAGTCTTCTAGGGCCTAAAGCACAAATATATATAGGAGCCTGGAATGTTCGAACCAGGTATAAAAATCAAAGACTGCACTGGTCATCAAGGAAATACAGCACTACATGTTGGACATTCTTGGTGTGAGCGAATGTCAGGAAAGACTAGAACAAATAGTTGAAACATCATCCTGCACTCTGGACACAAAGACAGTCATATTAATGGTGTAGCGATAATTATATGCAAAAAAAAGGCAGAAACATTACTAGAATGGGAACTAATCAGTGATAGATTAGTAACAGCAAGATTTAATTCAGACTACTGTAAGCTTTCTATTACACAGTGTTACACACCAACAAATGAAGCTGAAGATGATATCAAGGATGATTTGTACGAACAGCTGCAGACTGCCATTTCTAAAGTACCTCAATACGACATGCTGGTAATAATGGGAGATCTTAATGCAAAAGTAGGATCTGATAACACTGATCTGAAAATGTCATGGGCAGGCATGGTTGCGGGGTGATACATTATAAAGGCGAATGTACTATCGATCTTTGTCTTTGCAATAAATTGGTGATAGGAGGGACCATCTTTCCTCATAAAAACATCCATAAACTAACAAGGAAATCACCGGATGGAAGAACAGTAAACCAGATTGAACACATATTTGTGAACAACAAGTGGCGTAGATCATTAAGAGATGTACGAGTACTCAGGGGTATAGATGAAAATAGTGATAACTATCTACTGAAAGCTAGCATCAAATTAAAACTAAGAAAAGCACCAACTGAAAATCAGAACAGAAAGAGACTAGACACAGCAAGGCTGAAGTCACTAAATGTCAAGAAAGCATTTTGCTTAGAATTGAAAAATCGGTTTAGTGTGTTAGACAACCCTGATGATGGAGAAGGCAGTATACAAGATAAGTGGGATAATATCAAATATATTTATGTAAAGACTGCAGAAAGACAGTTGGTCACAAGACAAAACAGAACAAAGATTGGCTAACACCGGAAACCTTGCAAAAAATTGAAGAAATAAAAACTAAAAAACAGAAAATAGAAAATGCAAAATCAAAAGGTTACCAGATCAACTACAAGTAACATACAGAACAAAAGACAAAGAGGTTAAAAGAAGTGCTAGAAAAGATAAAAGACAATATCTAGACGACCTAACAAAAGACGCAGAGAAGACAGCCATTCTTGGAGAGTTGAGTACAGTTTACAAAATAACCAAACAACTTTGTAGAACATCAAATGCTCAGACGGCCAATGTAAACGAAAAAATTGCAATTCATTGAGAACAGAACGGGAACAAGCAGAAAGATGGGTCCAACATTTCAAAGCTGCCCTGAGCCTGATGTCATAGCTAACCCTGAACCATCAAAAGACAATTTAAACATCAACACAGAACCACCATCCATAGAAGAAATAAGAAATGCCATTAAATCATTGAAAACAGGCAAGGCACCAGGCATTGATTACATCCACGCAGAGATGTTAAAGGCAGACTTAGATACATTATCCAAAGTGCTTCACAATCTTTTCCTTGTCATCTGGAAAGAAGGAGACATACCATCAGACTGGAGGAAAGGCCTGATTTTGAAATTACCAAAGAAAGGTAATCTACGCAACTCTGACAACTGGAGAGAGATTAAATTACTTTCTGTCCCTAGTAAAGTATTCTGCAAAAAAGAATTGATGAAATCGTAGGTGAAAAGCTAAAAGAAGAATAGGCAGGCTTTAGAAGAGGGAGAGGATACATTGACCAAATTTTCACGCTCAGGAAACTTCATTGAGCAAGGCATAGAATGGTACGCACCACTTTTCTTTAATTTAATTGACTTCAAAAAGGCATTTGACAGATAACATTGAGAAACTCTTTCGTGAATTGTAAAATCATATGAAATTCCGACTAAAATTCTGATGCTAATAAAAGCCTTCTACAAAAGCTTTGGATGCAGTGTCATCCTTGGTAGCTCTATCTCAGACTCATTTGATGTTAAAATCTGGTGTAAGACATGGATGTATTATGTCACCTATCCTGTTTTTATTGGCTATTGACTGGATACAAATGCATACATCATCAGAGTAGAGAAGGGGTATCCAATGGACCATGTTTACTCAGCTAGAAGACATTGATTTTGCTGATGACATAGCCATGCTATCAGCAAAATCAATGTCTTCTAGCTGATTAAACATGGTCCATTGGTCATAATAGGACAGGAAAGGATATAAAGGCAAGACTATCTAAGGTACGTTCAACATTTGCAAGACTTCATACAATCTGGAAGTCCAACCAGTACAGTTTAAGGACCAAAATGCGAATCTGCTTCAGCAATGTAAAATCTGTCCTACTGTATGGTTTAGAAACTTGACGTCTTTCAGTAAGTGACCTTCAAAAAGTAGATGCATTCCATACTAGCTGCCTAAGAAAGATCAATAGAATATTCTGGCCAAATAAGATCAGCAACAAGAATCTCTTGGAGAAATGTAATGCTAAGAGCATAACAACAGAAAACCTTCAACTAAGATTTAGATGGTTAGGCCATGTGCTGAGAATGCCACAACACCGCACACCTAAAACAGCTCTTTATTGGACACCATCAGGAAAAAGGAAACCAGGGCGACCAAGAATCACCTGGTGAAGAACTGTAACAGCAGAATTGGAAGCAATGGGTTACACCTAGGGCCAAGCCCAGTATATGGCTAAAGACAAAGAGAAGTGGAGACCGTTTGTTGTGGCCTTATGTCCCACTGGAGATGAAGAAGATAAGTAAGTAAGTACATAAATTAAAATACAATAAAATATCACTACAGGAGAAGCACTTTATTCTAAAGTAACGGTAAAATAGATATCCGTTTTTTTTCTACTAGATGTTACTTACATGGTTAAAAAGACACGATGCCAAGGAAGAAAGGCTGATCCAAAATGTGCATTTTTAATAGATGAACTCCTATGGAAATTTGCAAGACAATCATACACATTTGGTTTCAGGCTCTACAACAACAAACGTTACATGTGAATAAATAAAATAATGATTAATATCTAGATAGTTAGAGTAGTTTTCATCTTTATTCCATTACATATTTGTTTTTCTATAATGTTTACAGTATTATTGTAAATTTCATGTTTGATAAAAAAAAATGTTAGTATTTATAAAGCAAATTACTCTAGGTATTACATACACAGCTACTTTTGCATTGGTACTATTTCTGTACAAAACATCTGTAGTACTGGAAATCTACTTTTAATATTCAGTACTATTTTGTTACTTTAAAATTGTTGTAATATTTAAGTACCTGTATTTTACAGTACTTGATTTGTACTTGAAATTTAAGTACTACAGATTTTTGGTTACACCGTTAAGCTTGGAATAATAAATCTTACATAATCACGTAAAGAAATTTGCATTGACAAACTCACTATTAAATAAATGATATGTTAACCATCACTTGTTTTCTTTATAGATTCTCTAAAAACTAGCACAGGGCCGATTGGTATAAATAGCCCACTACTGTACTACGTGACAGGTCCGTTTGACTCCAATCTTAATTGTCTAGGATTTTCACTCCGGGTTCCTCGCCCAATGAAAACAGGTAGTTACGTAATAGCCAATAGTGCTGAAAGGTTGCGTTCAGCAGCAAACAATCAATCAATCTTAAAACTAACAGATTCAAAGTTTTAATTGTTCGTTTCCTTTCGTTAATTGAACTTTTCACGATAGAGATATAACAAGCATTATCCAAAGTAATTTTTTACAGTTAATATATGTTTATAACTTGATAACTTGTTTCTACGTGTCGTGTACCAATTTTGTATTTACCTTTATTTCTTTTCATTGGTCTGTAAGTGTCAGGCAAATATAAATTACGAACTTTGCATTATTTATCTCGGTCTGTACATGTCGGGTAAATGTCAATCTTGTATTTAACCTTATTATTTTCGGCGAGCATTGCGTTTTAAATTTGTAAAGGTAACTTTCTGGAGTGGAGAAATATCGTATCACATCCAATGCAATGGTAGAATCTATATTTATTGTTTTCCATGGACTGAACGTATCGGGTGAATGTTACCAAATGTTCTCCATGGTCTGTACGTGTCAGGTAAAATTTACTTTATTGTTCTCCACGGAATGTACATATCAGCTAACATTTACCTTATTGTTCCTCACAGACTGTAAATGTCAGGCAAAATTTACCTTATTGTTCTCAACGGACTGTGCGTGTCAGGTGAATTTTGATTTTTGTTCTCCATGGACTCTACATGTCAGCTAAAATTTACCTTATTGTTCTGCGTGGACTGAACATATCAGGTAAATTTTACCTTATTGTTCTCAACAGACTGTACGTGTCAGGTGAATTTTTCCTTATTGTTCTTTACGGACTGTACATGTCAGGTAAAATTTACCTTATTGTTCTCCACGAACTGTACATGTCAGGTACATTTACCTTATTGTTGTCCACGGTCTGTACGTGTCGGGTAATTATTGTAACGATCGTTTACCTTATCATTCTTTAGTCTATTTACAGCTGCATGGTAATCTTCTCTTTCCTTCTTTGTCAGCATTCTATACTCTTTCCGAACTAACCGTGGTCTCTTCTTTTTTTTCATGTTGGCTTGTTCAAACATTTGTTTTACGAAATCCAGGACTTTAGAATCTTTCTTATAGTCAAATGGAGGATCTTCCCATAAAAACTGATTGATGCAATAACTGACAATTTCTTCTCCTGGTACGTCTTTTGGTCTGGCATTGCTACTTCTCTCACTTAGACATTTGTTATATTTTGGTGGACAGTAGATTGTTTTAATAGATGCTTGTGTTTGTTGTATCACAATACTGATTAGGCACAGGAAAGCATTCGCCACCATATTAGGGTTTGACTGAAAAAATTAAAACAACACTGTACAATTTCCTACTTCTGACGCGCTTTTTATTGGAACGCTCACAGCCGAATATTTGAAAGCCACAGATCTGCGAGAATCGAAACTGTTCTATATGATCATATTTCATAAGAAAAAATAGCCAAATCGATCTAAGGTCAACTTTGCCTGAGGGAGTTGAAACTTTAGTTTTTTTTTTACCTCAAATTACATCATACACGTTTACTCATATTAATTTCAATGGAAAGTTTTGATGTTTAAATAACTTAAAAAGTGAAGATTATATTTTTTGTTTTTATTATTGTATTCAATGTTTTTTTTTTTTTTTTTTTTTTTTTTTTTTTGGGGGGGGGGGTGTAGTTTAAAGGCCATTGCAGATATTTTGAAAAATAGACCATACTTTCATTTTGATATTGATTTTTATTTCTTAATGGATTTTTGAAATTCGAATATCTTTAAACAATTATTGACTTATTTAATAATAATTTAATAAGTTTTGAAACAGAGATCCTGGTGAGTTTTGTTCCAGCCCTATAACATCTCTTAATATATCGATTTGTTTAATGATTTGAGAAAAAAAAACGAGATGAAGAAAAACCTGAATGAAAGGTGACATGGGGGTAAATAACACTTAAACGCCAAACAAACACAACATTAAGGTGTGGTTTTGTGACACCCCCAAAAAATGGGAGTAAATTTTAGTTAAATTTTGTAGAACACTATACATTTCCTGATAGAGAAAAAAATCTTAAGAACTTTACCTTGTACTTCAGCAACTCATGAAGAAAGAAAGCAACCCGTGTTTAAATAGTTTGAGTAAGCACTTTCGATGACTTGGTCATCTGGTACATTCGTGAAGCATCTGGTGTATAATTATAACTGTCATTAATTTATGTACATATTGTTATGTACATATATTGTTAAATTACAAGTATTTGTTTTATAAATTGCACAAAATGACTTACGTCTTTTATCAGTTATGTCAATTGAAATCTTTATTTTAGAAATTATTTATATTTAATTGAAAGTTGCTCCTTTCCTAGTTGAATATATAGTTTGTTTGAGCACCACTCGGTTTTACTGTGCATCTTAAAAAGTGAAAAATGAAATTAATTTATACTTGTTAGTTTCTTGTATATAACATATGCTTATTCATGAACAATATAATTACTTTAAGGGAAGATATTCAATTTATTTCTACGTGATGAAGAAACAAAAAAAAAAAAAAAAAAAAACAAGACGTGGCTTGTCGGCGAGGCTCCTGTTTGTATCGAATACAAATGGTTTTTTTCTTATTTTTCTATAATGTAAACATATTGTATTTCGCCTGCAATTTAACACTGGTAATGTTAATTCCTGAATAGAGTAATTGTATAAATATGGCTAACAGTAGCTTATCGATGTTTAAATCTCATAAATCGAATATGAAACCAAGATAACAAACAAAACTGAATGAGAGACCTTCAACTTGCATAGGATGTGACGTCTATATACATATGAGACCTAAGAATTAACGACACCATCCGACGGACAGCAAGGAAAAATAGATAAATCAATACACTTTATTACTCTAAAGTGATTTTTCACAATCAAATATATAAACAGAAAAATGTTATGAAAGTTAGAATTCCTCCTCTCTAAGCTTACTCAACCAACAACTTAAGGATATACTCTGAATCAAACTTTAAAAATGATTATGATATTTCTATAGGCAGATATGTTTACGGTCAATCGAAAATTGACTATTTACAAAATATTATTTCGTGTGTATTATCTTTGATACATTGCTTCATGGAAAACACATTTAAATAATACGCCATACGAATACATATCATCCTTTTATCATTCTTCAAATAAAAAGGACAACAATTTTATCATGAAATCTTGTTCAAATTCCAACTTTTACCCTAAAAATAGCATACTTCCCGAATTAAACTTTTTTAGAGTCTTAATTTACAGTTGGACCTATATAACATATACATTTGAAGCCTCCAAAAATAAGGGTTAGTGCGTCATTCTCTAAACAAATGTCAACATTTAAAATTGCTCTCTTTCAATTTCAACAACAAATCTGCGCTTCTTTTGGGTGTTTATCTTTCGACACACTTGCTTCTTCTTGTATGCATAGCACATTTCTCCATGCCACAGAGTTAATATTTTGTAAAATATGTTACCTTTTTGCTTCATTAGCTGAGGTTTCTGTCTATTATTTTTCTTTATGATCATTTCGGCGGGCTTGTTACTGGTCTTAGTCTGACCAGGCCCTTTAGAAGCAGTGCAACTAACAAGTTTACTAGATATACACCTTTTTATCACACCTATTCTTTGTAGACAAGGAGAACTATTTTTTGTACTGTCTGACAAATTATCATAGACTTCGATGGAATCCTTTTGACTCTTCCAGATCTGTTCTAACGAAATGAAATAGCTTAGCACGCGACCACAACCACAGGTTCATCCTCAATAATTTTGTCATCATGATACTGTTCTTTTCTTGAAGATGAAGTCCTATTTGTCAATTCTTGGACTGAATCTAATTTTTTCCCTAAAACATATACCTTTGACCTGGGATCCTGTCTCTCTCAATCTATTTTACTGTCCAGTTTTCTATTTTTCTCTTCTTTCTCATGCTCCCTTAGGATGCATCCTTGCTTCATGTCTTTTGGTGTCTGATTACTTGTTTGTGGCATATGCAAAATCCTTGGTTCGTCTTGTTTTTGTTCACTCCAAAGTCTTAGCAGTTCATTCGTCCACTGTGGCGAACGCCGTATTACACATGGCGTAGCTCAGTTCATGTTCCAGATCTGTTGTAACGAGAATCACTTTTTAAGGGGTAAATTCCGTGTGCACCATTTCGAAAAAAATATAAATATTGCAAAAAGGCTACAGGTCTTAAAATAAAGCAACTTACATTATTATATAGAATATATAAAGTAAAAGATATACAACTAGCGCTGTCTTATTCTACTTTTTATTCGCATTACTCTATCACACAATCCGGATTTTTGTCTGTGATCGTTGTCCGTTTAAAGCGTGCGGAAAATACGAAGTTTCTAACGTTTCGTCCTTTAATTCTACATTTTCAGTTTCATTTTCTTCAGGTATTAAGTCACATGGAGATTAGTCAATAATATCACTTTCGATCTCGATCCTTTGACAAATCATGCCTCTCTGTCTGTATTCCTTATATATTCACTGGTAATAGGGTTTCGTAATTTTTGTTCAATATCTTCAAACGATATCTGCCAAAAGCGCATCAACTTTACGTGTTTTATTAGTTTTTCTTTGCGCCAAAAAAAAAAAAACAACAAAAAACACAAAGTTTGTTGCTTGGTTCAAATGATTTTCATAAATGACGGTTGTCATGGAACTTTTTTATCTGAGGTTTTTTCAAATTCATTAAGTCTTCTTAAACCCACACATTCCATTCGTTTGATTTGTTTGAGCTTTTGATTTTGCCATTTGATAGAGGACTTTCCGTTTTGAATTTTCCTTGGAGTTCGGTATTTTTATTATTTAACTTTATATTACTAAACATTGACTTTTCTGTTTGTGATAGCGCGTACTGCATATTAAATGGTGTCATAATTTTGCTACCCAGCATAAGAATATTCGGCGTATTTGCTTTATGCCCGGAAGATGTTATTCCAACGTCTCATTGGCACTTATACCACATCTTCCTATATCTATATACAACATATAATCATCCTAGTGAGTCCGACTAGTTTCATAACACTTTGGTATAATCTCTCTTCCATTCTGTCTGACTATGGATGAAAGACTGTAGTTGTTGTTTTGTGTACATCATGCTTTCTGGTCAACACAGCGTTAAAACTCTTGCACGTTATAGCAGTCGCATTCCAATGCTTAACACCAGGTTTGTGTCGAATTTTGAAATCATGACTTCAATACATAATAACATGTCCTTCAGGGTAGCTAAATGTATATAGTCATCGCAATGCACTATGCTCCGTCCGAATTGTAAACTGTTGTCCAAACAGGTAATGGTGGAAGTGCTTAACAAAACTACAACGGCCAGCAATTCTTAAAGTGTAACGCAATTACATTCCTTCTCCGCAAGCATCTTTGTCCATAATTAATTAAGCTTTAGTTTAGAAAATGCCTTGTCAAATTCTGTCGTGCATTTGCATTCGAGTCCTTTTTCTGTGTTAGCTGAAGATTCCATTCAAGGAACGAACTTCGGTGACATTTACTAGCTTTGGGTAATGCTTAACTGCTTCAATTTTTACACCGTATGTTTTGTGTACATCAATCTTTCAAATGTCGCTTTATTATTACACAAACCGATGGACATAGCCGTGAATAAATGAAATCCATTCTAAATGGAGAACGCAGTCTTTGTCTCTTAATTCTGTCAAGTCCAAGATGGGAACCATTTTGCTACTGCTGAAGTGTCAAAAGAGGCATATACTTTTGGAAAAATATACACTTCTTTTGTCGTTACGTTGTTCAGGGGCCTATAATCAACTGAGATAATCAACGCAAAGTCTATGCATTCCATCCTTCTTCCTAATAAAACCAATGTCCGTTTAACGACGACGAATGCAATTTACCTGGCTTTACTATTGTGTCTACCTCTGTATCTAAAATATCTTCAGATTTTGGTGGAAATCTCCCCACAGGTTGATTTATTTGGGAAGCGTCAATTGTTTGTATTTTTTGTTTCACTGCACGCTTTCTTCCAATAATTGTCGGTTTTGCAAATATATGAGAATATTGTTTCAACAGCTGGTAAACTTTGTTAGATTATTTAGTATATGAATTTCCTGTTGTCTAATCGTACAGATTTTGCAAAGTTGCTAGCAATTTTGGCTCTATTTTAAGACTGGTGGGTTTGTCGGGATATTCTGATATTTCAAAGGGGTAAAGACTTCCAACAATTGTGTCTTTGTTAATCTCCCTAAATTCATTTGTAACATTCATTAACCAAATAGAAACTTGATTGGAAAATGTTATTAAAATTTGTGCTAACATTGCAATTCTTTTATCGACAAATTGTGCATACGGTTCAACAATGGCATTGCTTCTATTTTTCCGTTTTGATCTACATAAAATTAGTAATTAACCGTTACATACTATCTCTGATCTGGGTGGTATATCTATTTTCTCCTACACTGATACTCTGTAACTCTGTAAGATCCTTGCTCAAAGTGTCATATTTCAAATCTCTATCTCATAGTATAAAGACCAGCTTCTTTATGTCCAACTCTTACTAGTGGCTTTTTTTAAATAAAAAAATGTGCTTTTCCTTTTGTGGTTGCTTCATTGTTGGAATCTTACCATTCCTCTGGCTATGGCCTTTATTACTCTTCTTTCTATCTTTTATATATCGCTTCGATTTTGCGGCTCCTTATTTGGTCTTCTTATGACTGATTTACACGTTCCATGAATGTTTCATATACCTGCATCATTATTCTCTCGCATACACTAGGCGTTTTTAACTATTTTCAATATAATCCTTTGTTTATCTTCGTATATGAGAGCTGCTAATTCTACCGCAGTTCAAACTTCATCTGCTATGAAGCGCGGCAGTGACTGTTGAATCTTTATCTCATGTAAAAGTATAATAAAACATCGACAAAGTAGTGAGTCAACATGTCCGTCACATTTATCGACTCCAACTGATTTGCTAAATGTGTAAGTCTTCTTATACTTTTGCCAATATCAGGTTAGGACCCATTCAATTTTAATTTATGTTTCTTAATATAACCCAGTCAATCTAATTGATCGGGAGAAATCGGTGTTTAGAAAGCTCCTGTATATGTGCTCGTGTTTTTTTTTAAATTACAGGATAGAAACAATGCGGTCAAATCTACTATCTGAGCCAATTTTTTTTTCTCTGAAATTGCTTTGTAACAAAACAATTTTTAGATGAATATTCCGACTAAAGTAATATCCTGTTTTTTTTCCATACAATTTCATTGTGGTTTTTTTTACTTCCGAATTTTGAATGTCAAATTTCAATTTGTATTTCCTATCCATGGTTTTTAAAATTTTCCCGAAAGGTTATGGTCATTCAGACTTTGTCTACATATCAAACGCGTAAGAATTATGGTCTATGTGCATTTTGTAGAAAAATATCGAGCTCCACTGCTATCCGTTCATAGACGATAACTGGCTAAATATCTGAACTGTAGTCACGTTCCTATGTTCATGTCCGGTACGCTATTTTTAGTACTATGACAATTTTTATATTCTCGTCTTGTTGATATGGTCATAATTATAAATTAACTGTTAACATACTTTGAATTTTTGAAATACTAAGGCTTTTCTACCTCAGGAATAGATTACCTTAGCTGTATTTAGCAAAACTTTTAGGAATTTTTAGTCCTCAATGCTCTTCAACTTCGTACTTTATTTTGGCCTTTTTAACTTTTTTAATTCGAGCGTCACTGATGAGTCTTTTGTAGACGAAACGCGCGTCTGGCGCAAATACAAAATTTCAATCCTGGTATCTATGATGCGTTTATTGTTAAGTCAAAAATAGAATTTGGTTTATTTACTTAGTTAATATTTCATATTTGATATTTTAAATTCTCTATAAAAATTCTGTATAGTTAAAAGACGAATGTCTACAAAATAATTAATTGGTCTTTAAATGAATGCACTTTAACGTGTTCTTTTTTTTAAATTTGAATTCATACAATATGATATTAAAAGGATATTGTCTACGTCATTGATACGTAACAATATCACATATCAAGCTCGGTCACGCGTGTTTTTAACAAAATGCCGACTTACAAGTTGTACTATTTCCCTGTTCGAGGAAGAGCTGAACTTAGTCGATTGTTGTTAGCGGTAGCAGGGAAGGACTATGAAGATATAAGGATTTCTTTTGACGAATGGCCAAAGAAAAAATCAAGTTAGTGCTTTATATTTTAATGTACAACACGTACTTAAGGCATCATAAGGTATGATATTGACGATTATTTGTATGTCATAAAATGTCAACAAACATATGCGCTTGCAAAAGTGTTAAGGTTCATCATAACTATATGACAAAAATGAACAAAGTTTACTCGGAGTACAGACATTCCTGTGCAACTGGGACAGTCTCAAGGCATGGCAGCAACTAGCTATATAAAAGTTAAATTAATTTTGTGATTCAGAAACATTATCATTTCCCTGTTTATTTGCTGGGTATTTTTTTAGTACAGAAGGTTTAAAAATAAACCAATTTGAATCAAATTTTGAGATGTCTCCACAGGTAACAATTGTGTTGTATTGTATTAAATGACATTAACAATAAATATATACACAACAATAGGTGCTTTAAACAATGTAAATGAGTGTATAGTGTATAAAATAAAGTTCAGGTATTTGTTTATTTCACCATCTTCTGCTATGGTGAATACTAAATCAATCTCTATATCTAGAAAAGAAAATTCTATTTTTTTTAAACGCAAAATGCACTTATATCTTGTTAATATAGTTGTTAGCAGGCCTTAACATTTTACCAGTTTTGGAGTTTTGTCTGTGCACATAATACATGTTGCGGTATAAACAAAAAATATTTCTACAAAAGTTAAGATGAACCTTTAGGCGTAGTTGGACCTTGATATATAAACGTTATCTGCATTTTATGTATTCTTGAATTAAAAACCAAGGTCACTTGCTTACACGGTTTACATCACATATTGTTTAACAAATATCTCTTGTTCATGTCAATCAATAAATTTCTAAACAATACGTACTAGAGGGGAACATCTCAAACATTTTACCCACCTTAGGTTATATTTTCACCTTCTGTAGGAACGAAAAACTAATGCAAATCAAAATCCATAAAGTTTTTGAATTTGCATTTAAACATAAAATGCTTTTAAATTTTCCTTGTCTAGGTCCAGCCATACCTTAAAACTTTCCAAGTTGTACAGGTTTGTCTGTAAATTTTTAGATGAAAACACAACTCCATATTTTCCAAAAAAGGTTAAGATAGTCATTAAGCCGTCATAATCATGTCTTCTGTCTTGTTAAGACAATAAGTATTTCACAGTTTTCAGTTTTCAGTTAAACGACCCTTTTAAGGCGCATTATATAATTCCCGGTTTTGGCAGGTACCGTATAGCGGGTTATTTTCGCAAGGTGTATATTTTCGCTTATTTTGGCGGGTAAGGGGAAATCATGAAATTAAATTCCACGAAAATATATGCATACGTTCGGTACTTTCTAATAACTAAAGCGTTTTGTAAACTATATATTTTTCTCGTTCGTCGGATCAATAATGGTTTATGTTAATTTAAACAACATAAATGCAAAAGGCCATTGTTCACTGGCGATCAGGTGTTAATTAGTTAATTAGTTACATAATACAATAATTAATTATATAAGCGTGTAAGGTACTCCGTCAGGTATTTTATCCTTATTGATTAGTGTCAAATTATATAAGAGTTGCAAGTCACTCATGATAATTTTATAATCTAATTAGTACATCAAAGGTCCGGTCAATTTCGTAACTAACCAACCGTTACATTTACAAGAAGTTTGTACACCTTTGACAAACATCTAAGTACCGGTATTATATTTGATTAACTGTATCAAAATATAATCAATGAATAAGACTTCATGCACGTAAAACAATCATATAACCATAACAATTAAAACACTTGTTTGTCAATTTTTACAACTTTTTAACTGCAAACATTTTAGTATCCGCTGAAATATTTAATTGGGATTAAAGAATCCGCCAAAATAAAAACCTCCAAAATTTTTCGTATACCTTGTTGCTCCTATATCGCGAAATTTTACACCCGCGAAAATAACCCGCTATACGGTATTGCGTTGCTCAATATTTAGTTTCCATTGTAATGGTACAGAACGTGGACTTGATTGATCTTTCGTCGGTTTCCCTTTAGTCATGGTGTTGTCAGTTTTTAATAGATTTTTGCTTTTTAGTTATCACTTTGTAATCCATCAAGAATTAAATGTTTTCATTTACCTGATCGATTGTATTTGTCTCACGTGTTTGCATGTGGTTCTTATCGATTATGTTGTTTATTTCAGCTATGCCAACTGGCCAGATGCCAACTTTTGATGTTGATGGTCAACTCTTATGTCAAAGTTTGACAATTGCTAGATACATAGCTAGAGAGTATGGTATGTGGCCAATGGGTTTTGATTCTATCGTATTTGATTTTTTTTATATTATCATTATTAGTAGAATTTTACGTTCTGTTTCACTTATATTATATAGACTACAAAATTGTTTTATTATTCCCCACTTTGAGTTTGAAGTAATGCATTATACTTGCTTATTTCTTCAACCATTTTAGATTTTTATTTTTAATAAATAAGTTATGAAAAACAGCTCTAGCTCACTATTGATTGGTAGTGCACAAATCTCTACATACGAGTATACTTAATAAATGTTATTTCAATTGAATCCAACTTTATGTATATTTTCTTAATGATTCATATTATTTCTACGTCTAATCTATATCAGGTTGCAAATTATTTACTTTGTGCATTATACGCATCAATGCTTAATTTTAAGTAGACAAAATGGATGGTTACAGATCAAAGATTAAACTTAACTATATAGATTTTTACTGTGTACGATGACTATTTATTATTCTGGCATTTTTAAGCCCTTATCTCGTTTGATTTTTTTTTCTTCCAAAAATAACGTTTTCGGCAGACAGCATTCGTTTTTTTTTTTGAAATTTCAATGATTTGCTATGCATTTTGCTTCATCTTGCTACAAATCAACCGTTGAAATGCAAAATTATCGAAAGTAATTTTTTATTTTTTTAGACAATTTCAAATATAAGTTTTAACTTACACACCATTCTTTCACTTAAATTCAATAACATTTTTTTTATATAATTTCCACTCTTCCCTGATATGATTATGCATAAATAGATTTAACATGAATAGTCAAAATGAGCACATTATGATAACATTGACTCAACATAACGATTAAATGGGCTTTGTGATTAAAACTATTTTTCTAACGCAGGATATGCTGGTAAAAGCAACATGGAGCAAGCATTGGTCGACCAGGTTGTAGATACAACTAGTGATTACTTAGGGGAATACTTTAAGTGTTATTTTACTCCAGAGGAATTGAAAAAGGTATTATTATTCCTTTAATTTTTACTTTAATTTTTTTTTGCATATCCCGTCGGTATTGCGGTACGTAGCGTAATCGCCGCAATGACTTTCTCAAAATTAAAAAGTAAAAATTTGTATTGGTTGCTTAGCCAAGCAATAACCATCTAGTGGTAAGGGCAAATACTGGTTGAATAAGAATCAGAATGTCATCCATCAGCATGATTTAGTATTTACTAAATATCAAAGTGTTTCTATTTCTATCACTTTTATGGACTATGATTTGGGAATCGTTTAAAAGAGAGGCGAAAGATATCAAAGGGACATTCAAACTCATAAAACGAAAATAAACTAACAACGCCATGGTTAAAAAAGAAAAGACAGACAGACAAACAAACAATTGTACACAAAACACAACATAGAAAACTAAAGACTCAGCATCACAAACCCCACCAAAAACTGGGGGTGATCTCAGGTGCTCCGAAAGGAAGGGTAAGCAGATCCTGCTCTACATGTGGCACCCGTCGTATTGCTCATGTTAGTACAAACCTGGTAATAAGTCTAAATGGGTTGGTCACATTCGGGAAAGGGGGACTGGATTGTAGTTACGACATTTGGAACATATCCGCTATCATCTTTGAAACGGATATTCCATTACGGTCAACCAACTCGTGATGTTAAAGGAGTTATACTGATGTGCATTTCTAAGGTTCATAGTACCAAGCAATTGACTAAGTTGTGAGTGGTTCTCAGTCAGAATCGTGTGAACTTAAGACAGAGCGAGACCTAATCAGTCAAAAAGGGTAATGTTAAACATAAATGATTTCACTGAAAGAATAAATTTGAAATTTGCTCAGTCTTTAGTTTTCTATGTTGTGTTTTGTGTACTGTTGTTTGTCTGTTAGTCTTTTTTCTGTTTTAGCCATGGCATTGTCAGTTTATTTTCGACTTATGAGTTTGTATGTCCCTTTACAAGTGAGAGGTTTAGCTAGCTATAAAACCAGGTTTAATCCAACGTTTTCTGCATAAGGAAATGTATGTACCAAGTCAGGAATATGACTGTTGTTTTTCATTCGTTTGATGTGCTTGAGCTTTTGATTCTGCCATTTGATAAGGGACTTTCCGTTTTGAATTTTCCTTGGAGTTCGGTATTTTTGTTATTTTACTTTTTTTTTGTATCTTTTGCCTCTCTTGCAACACTTCTTTTTTCTGTAATAATGCATAACAAGGATAACAGAAACCACCACAATTACTTGAAAGTACAACAAACAACAAACCACATCAACAACCATCATTAACTCATCCGAAAAAAAGACATGCAAAATAAGACAAACAAAAACGATAAAAACACGTACCAGATAGCCTGACTTGGTACAGGACAAAAGGTGACTTGTTTTAATCAGTTTTACATGCGGACAAACCTACCACCTCAACTATCTAGACCGTATGCCGTAAAATTGAATCACACACACTAGAGGTTTCCCGATTTGCTACGTATCAGGTACGGTTGGTACGTCACTCAACGGTTAGTGCTGTTTTGAGGTATCATTTAAGGCATGAGATTATTTTATTCATCATGATAAAATTTAAAACATTTGCGTTTATGTTTGTTATAGGTATTGTTTTTAGTTTGTTTATTTATAGAAAAAAAAACAGATTTTTTTCTTATTTATAAACATAATTTGAAATAGTTAAAATAATATCTATGAACTGCTGTTACACGATGTTGTTTCTAGTCGTTAACATGGCAAGATTGTGTTGATTTCAGTATTAATTCTTGAATGATTTTGAAATTAATTATTTCTATTTAAGTAATCTATTTCGATCATTACAGCAGAATATTTTTTCTTAAGAGGATGAGAGAGCTGAGATTTCATATTGAGTGAGAAAAGGGCACTCTTATATTTTTTTTTATCAACAACTGAAGATGTTTTTTTCTAGAAATGCATTCTAAAAAAGTAAACTGGAAAAAATATTGAAAAATAAATATTCACTTTTCTTATGCCGATAATGCCGATGAAAGGCACACCAATGTCTTGGGTCATTGAATATAAAAAAAGACTACACCAATTGTCATATAATTATAGTAAATTGTACTGACACTCGGGTTCTTTGAGTATTTTGTTAGCGTATCTTTTATTTGACCCTTTCGTCTTACTTTTAACTTTGGTAAAATTTCTCATACGTATGTATGACGATTTTTGCGAAAATGCAGAAAAATTGTATATATAATGCATTTGAACTACTCAATAAGTGATAATATTAAATTCTATTAAATAATGCAAAGAATTGATACTTATTATTTAAACATAAAGTTTATTGATCATCGATAAGACATTAAGTTTATATGTATACCAAGAGACGTGCTCAGTCGGGTTATATATATATATATATATATATATATATATATATATATATATATGTTTTTATCTTTATTCAAATATTCAACATTTATATATAATAAATATAATACATATTACACAAGAATATTTACAAAACAATGGTTAAAGATATAATGACATAAATCATCAAAACAATAATTATATATTGAATGCAATGAGACCTTCATTTTCTTGCACAAGTATATTGTACTTTAAAAAGTGTTTTTTTTTCAAAAACATTTTTCATGCATCTTACACCACATAAATATTCATACAGGTAAGTTATATAATGTTTTAGAGTGTATTTAAATAGTATGATAAAATCAACATTACTGTTTATATTTTAAAGTAAATTCCTTCTGCTGAAGGGTTTTATATTTTTATACTGTTTTTTTTTATGTAGGTGAAAACATTGTGCAACCGGATTTGTATTTATGTTCATCCTTAAATTTTTAATGATATCAAATGTGTATGTTAAAATAGCTCTTATTCTATCATGTTTTGTAAAAGCCTAACCCAAAAAGGCCAACCTATTCATTCTATACTGGTATATCAACATAAAAGGCGAACAATAGATAAATCATGAATGTGCTACTCTGTGTTTTGTTAGATGTATTTCTATTTATATCCATCTGATGAGTTCAGCCTTTTTCAATTGATTTTTATAGTTTGTTCTTATGTTGTACTGTTACACCACTGTTCCAGGTTAGGGGAGGGTTGGCATCTTCAAAGATATTTAACCCCGCCACATTCTGTATGTGCCTGTCGTAAGTCAGGAGCCTGTATGTAATTCAGTGTTTCTCGTTTGTTTCTGTGTAACAATTTGTTTTTCGTTCATTATTTTGTACATAAATTAGGCCGTTAGTTCCCTAGTTTGAAGTGTTTTGCATTTGTCATTTCGGGCCTTTTATAGCTGACTATGCGGTATGGGCTTTGCGTTTATGAAATTATATCTATAGTTGTATCTACAAAATACTCCAAATAATTTTGATAATGATTCATAAAACATACGTTGACATTACGTGCATATATGAATTATTTTCAAAAGTTAAATGACGGCTCCCAGTTCGTACTACGGTTGGTACGGTAGCAAGTCGGGAAATCTGTACTAAAAGACCCACACAGTGCAGCTACCAACAGGATGACCACTTGCTGAAACAAGGAAATATAAAGGCACATATTTTGGAAAAAGGATAAAATGTGCTCGTCACTACAGGAAGCTACCTAAAGCAACTGCAGTTGTTGGTTTGCTATTACCGCTCAATAACACATACAAAAAGTCAGAAACAATACTCCTTGCATGTTTTATTAAGTCTCATTATAAAATTTATTTAAAATCGTCAGATCACCGGAAGAATAAACCATTTGAACATTGGTTAACTACTGCGCCTAAATTGAAATGAATTAGTGAGTTGTATCTCGCTGTTGAAAGATTTAAGAGTTTTGATCTACATTTTTAAGTGTTTGTTGTAGTTGACGACCATACGATACAAGGTATATTAAATGTTCATTATTTACGAGAAAATTTATATTTACAGATAATTTTGGTAATGCAAGATTTCTTGTTGTTTTTTAATGCTTTTCTTCAATTTCTACTTGATGTAAAATACGAATCATCAATACTTCCGTGAATCCGAGTGCTTCTTCACTTTTTTCCAGAATTAACAAAACATCAAGGTAGATATTGCAGTTCAGAGACCAACAGTTGCTCAGTAAAGGGACATCAAACGCAAGCTACAATGGGTGTGATCTCTTCAAGTTATTTTTATTGGCCTATTCAATAATGGTCAACATGATTTTTTTTATTAATTATTATTTGTAAATTATTTCATTTTACTATCTTTAACGACATACACATCACTTCATACTTTTTAAGGAGGCAATAGAGAAATATTTGAAAGAATCAACACCTAAAACATTAACATGTTTTAATAAATGGCTGGAACAAAATGATGGTGGAAAGGGCTTCTTTGTCGGTTCGTCGGTAAGTTACCAGAAGGTGTTTTGCAATAATCAAAATATGAAAATTAAACTTTTACAGACTGCTGTTTTACAAACATCTAACATTTAGTCTTTGGCACAGTGGTTGTTGGTTTGATATCACTCTTAACTATTTAAGAAACACAACAGAAACGATATACTATCAGTGTAAAAAAACAGCAGTCATAAACATAACTGTATAACCATAACCTTGACAGGAGGGAATTGGATTGTTGAAAACTGCTATGGTGGAAGATTCAAGCAATGTTTTTGAACAAAAGGGTTTTAAAAGAACAGCGAAAAAGTTAGTGACTTATTAATAACAATTTTTAAAATGCCAATTATAAATCATTTATAAGTCAAATAAATAGAGACAGACAATGTTATGATAGAAAGAAGAAAAATGTAACAGCATAGGAAAAAAAAGATTTATCGCAACAAAAATCGCTGTGAAATCAGATGCTCTGGAACATTAAGCAGTTCCTTCTTCACGAGTGTCACCCTTTCTATTTCTCATTGCTTGTTAAAAGATGTTGATGTCAATAAAGAAGACATATCGTAATTGCCGATGATCAAATTTCGTTAAATCCATTGTAAAACACAAACAAGAGAAAAATGAGGTAATCGAATAAAATTAAAATGGAACAGGACCGGGAAACGTCTCGTTCTATGCAAGTATATTCCGCCATCCGAATCCAGACTTAAAAAAAGTCAAAATCGCTAATAAGACAATATGTACATATAAAACGACAATTTTGGCATCTTCGTGGAATATAAGATCAGGAAAATATTTCCCTCATGAGGCTTTAGACAAAGACACTTCGTATTACTAGAAGTTAAACAAATATTGATGACGACCGCCAATTTATGTTTCAGATGACCATGGCAGACCTTGCTGTATATGAAGTTCTAACAAATGTAGTTCTAAGAGACTCAAAAATATTGGACGGATTTCCAAAGCTCGTGGAACATAGAACCAGAGTTGCCTCTTTGCCAAAAATTAAGGAATATCTAGAAAAACGTCCAAAAACGGATGTTTAATCAAATTACATTATATAACTCCTCTATATATTTTTATAAATGTGTAGTTCAAAATGTGTGTATTTGATGGTGTGTGTTTTTGGATTAACAAAGGACTTTCTATGTTCACAATTAGTGTGATAGTTGTACAAAACTGCATTGTCATATACAAATGTGCAATAGTTTTTACAACAGGCGATGACACTTGTGTGCAGAAGTGATTAATTTTTGGATATATGTTTTGTGCATTATAACGTTGTTTATAATATTCTGACTAGATTACAAAAATTAAACTTGTTTATACACTTTTAATATAATAAAATTTTATAATCATTTAAAATTTTTTCTTAAATGTTAGATTAGAGGAACATAAACCATAAGTCAATAAAAACAGACAACAGCATGAACTAAAAGAAGAAACGACTAAATAAATCGATGAAACACTTCATAAAAATAAAAACCCTTACAAATACTTCGACATGTAGGTCAACTCAGACATTCTGGAAGGGAAAGCAGATCCCACTACACTAATGGTACATTAATATTGCCCATGGCAAGAAAATGTTCGTTGACAAGTTTCATTTAGTGATGAAAACCGAGAATGGAACAGCAATGTGGACATGACAAGTGAAAAAAATCTATGCAACAGATATTCCAAAATTGTTCATAGACAGAGGCTTACTATGCTATAAATAGTATTGGTTTGACTCGATCTCGGAAATTTGCGAAATACTATGGCTTGTGTGATTAACATTTGCAACGTCTTTGGACAATGCATCTCTAAAACTAGATAAATCGTATTTTACGATTAAAAGAAAACGCATCTTGCAAAATTCTATAATTTCCATTTCAGATATATTGATTATGTCTTGTCACTCAATCACCTACATTTCAGTGGATGGATTCATCTGACATATTTCATTGAATATGAGATTAAGATACTATCAAAATAAAAGGTCTGCTTCATATCTTGATCTTTTCCTCGATATTGACACAGATGGACGATTTCAAAATAGAACACATATCAAAAATGATAATTTCACCTTTCCATTTGTTAATTTCTCATTTCTCAGCATTAACATTACATCTGCCCAATCGCATAGCGTTAACTTAACTTATCTAATACAACACACTCATGTGAATTTTAACACTACATGGAATTCATTAACAGGGGTGTGTTCCTTACACAAGAAAACTACTCCAAAAAAGTTATGAGGGGAATCTTAAGTCGATACTATATAGTTTTAACCGTCACCATCTCTAATTGGTTGACCAATACGATTTGACTGTGTCTCAACTCAACAGCCACATGTTTTCGCGGTTTTAGATAGATAGCAGGATAGTCTTTCATCTGTAGATTTTCTGATTGTGTCTTATTCCCGATTGGGACATTTTGACTGATTTTTAATTCTTATGGTGTTTGATGCACACAGAGCAGGAAACGCTTACCCTGTCGACGCAACCGGTCGAGTTCCTTTTAGATTCTCGCGAATCCCTCATTTTTTGGGTTTTTTTACAATGATTTGTTTTGTCTGTGTGGCTTTATGATGTTGAACACCATTAAACTATTGTTGCTTTTGATTTAATTATTTTCAATTAGGAATAAGGGTAAAAATATCCTCTGACGACTTTGAAGGCCGAACATCCAAATATCGGCAGGTTTTTAAAATCCGGCATCGTTCCACATTTAGTTTGTATACATTTACTCAAGGTAAAGAAATCTGTAGTCTTGTCGACGATGTGTGGTCGCTTTCAGTAATTTTGTAGCTATGTTACCAGGAGATTTTATCAAATAAGATTTTAAAAGACATGTGAGTTAGTAAAAACACCGGCCCGTGTATTATCCTGTCAGGATCAGGAAACAAGATGCATTTAATTCCATAACGTCAAGACATAGAAATATAAATCACCGTTGTGTATTTTTCCTTGCAGTCATATTTGTAACAAATATGGAATAAATGAATTTATTTCCTATGCAGCATAAATACTGCAATTTGATTGGTTAATTACCCCGGTGTAAATAACACCCCACCCTTTTTCACCCCGGGATAAATAAAATTTTGCCAAAAAATTTTAAAAATAAAATCTTGCCAAAATAAAGAAAAAAAATAAAATGTCAAAAATAAAAAAAATAAAAAATGAATAAATTTGAGGACAAAAATTTGTAAAAAAAAATAAAAAAAATTTTTCATTTTTTTTTCCCGAAAATTCGTAAGAACACAAAAAAATTCTGAATTTCCCCAAAATAAAGAAAATAAGTATTTAACAATGCGCAGCAACATCGACGTTGAAAAAATGTTACACTGGAAATTTTTCATTAGCATTTTTCAATTTTACATCCCGGTTTAAAAATGGGTAAAGGAATTGTTCATAAGAAATAAATTCGTTATCTTGGTGTAATCAGGGGTGTACAGAATTTAACGCCGTTGTTGAAAATTCATACACCCATTCGGCTGCGCCTCAGGGTGTATGAATTTTCAACAACGGTGTAAAATTCTGTACACCTCTGATTACACTAAGATAACTAATAGTATGGATGTATAAAAACTCATCAAAGATACCAGGTTTATAACGTGTTCACTAAACGCGCCTTTTCATCCACAGAAAGCTCATAAGTGGCGCTCGAATAAAATAACGTTTGGAGGCAAATCAACGCGAGATTTAAGAGCATTGCAAGTCAAACATTCTATTACTGATTGTGTCCTATTCCCGATTGCGACATTGGACTGTGGGTTTGCATATCTGGTTATGCATGCACAGCAGTAACAAATAAATAAAAATCATATATAACTGAATATGTTTATGGTGAAAATTTAAAGAAAATGGCGATGAGGTATGCTTTCTTTTCTTTGCAATCATGGTTTTTAAATGTTACATATAGGGAATATTCGAGTGTGAAAAACATACTAAACAGAATGTTCTTGCATGTCCTTTATTTCTTATGTACGTTTTGGTTCGAGAGCCACTGGTGAGTTGATGAAACGCGCGTCTGACGTACCAAATAATTAGCATGGTATCATTGGTGAGATTTAACGTAAAAAAAAGAAAGAAATTTTTAAAACCTATGTAGATAGATTGGTTAAACACATGTTTCAGTAGCATGTATTAAGTATAAAATCTTTTTATTTATTATTTCATGAAATAAGACTTGAAAGCTGACATTGTTGCAAAAATATTAATTCGAAGAGAACGAATTAAACGTTTCTAAAACTGAAAGAAACGTCTTCGTGTCTACCATCATTTCTTTTTAAAAAGTGTTCTCTCATAAATGGTAGCGTTAATAATAAAAAAAAATAAAAAGCCAATGAATTAAATAAAGCGCATTGATATCCACAATAGTTTGTATTTAAATAACTGGATTAGTGTATCAGAAGGTGTCTTCAAAAGTTGATAAGTGTTTATCTTTGATAATATTCTGTTATCATTAACCTACAAGCCTGTTATCATTAACATACAAGGATATTATATAGGACATTCTCATATAAAAGTGTTCGTTGATTGTTCTCTTTCACGATTTAAAACTTCTAACTGAACAAAATGCCGAGTTACAAATTGTACTATTTCCCTGCTCGTGGAAGGGCCGAACTGATTCGATTGCTGTTAGCGGCAGCAGGGAAGGACTATGATGATATAAGGATTCCATTTGACGAATGGCCAAAGAAGAAAGCAAGTAAGTGTTATTATTTTCAAAATACAAAACCTCAAATTCTTTAACCCTAATTATGTTTTCAAAAAAACTAGGCTTAAACTGGTAAGAAATTCATATCCAACTTGTAGCACCCGCCCTGTTGGTCAGGACAATAAGGCACCATTGAAAAGTAACACTCAAGCATGTTAAAATCGGGGAAAAGGCTAGGATTATAGCTACTACGATAGTTTACAAATTTCCGTAGTCATCAGTGTCACAGATCATAATGGTTAACCAAATCATAAATATGTCCAGAAACATTACCATATTTTTTTTTATAATAGCTTTTTTATAAGCAGTAATTATTCTAAAGAAATCCTTATAACAAATGTGTACGCCATTGAATATCTTATCAATATGGAGTTTTATAGTTCATATGCAGGTCTTCTAGAATGTTGCCACGAAAACAATAGAAAAAGGAGAGAAGATTCCAATTCGCAATCGAAATTCTTGAGTCTAATAAAAATAGACAATACTATCCACAGAAAAAAAAACGATGAAAAGACAATACTAAAACTAAACACTAAAAACATTGGATGCACTTAGGTGCTCCGGAGGGGTAAGTAGTTCCTATTCTACATGTTACAACCGTAGTGTAACTTTGTTAAAATATAGCATTGAGTCGTATCCAAAGATAATGCATTTTACAAGATGGTGGATTTGCAATTGTCTGTCTCTAACTCTAAGATATCACCAAATACAAAAAAGAACATTTGAACATATCAATTCCCTAAACCTAAGACTTGACCGAATGTGAAGATTGAAATGAAAATAACATTTTCAAGACGAAGAATAAAAGAGACTTTTACCGGAAGAAACTTCCTCATCGCTTTCTCTTCAATAGCTTACCAGTGTGCCAATTCACTCACATGCCCTTTGCATGATTATTAACAGTTTTATTTAAGTTTATTTTTTATGTCGTCTTTGCTGTTACGACAATTACGCAATAGACTGACATAATGATAAAATGGTCTTATTTAGTTGCAATTGATTCAGTAGTAGATTATAGTAAATATATTGATTCCAATTTATAGTGAAATTAAGAAACATGTTCAATTTGTTGTTGTATGTGTTTCTCAATTAATATTTTTGTATATTTCAGCATTTCAAACTGGACAATTGCCAACTTTTGATGTTGATGGTCAACTTTTATGTCAGAGTTTGACGATTGCAAGATACTTAGCTAGAGAATATGGTATGTGGCAGATATTTGTATAACTCGTTTATGTCCATTTATCTTTAGTTTTTTTTTTTTTGAGAGGTGTTGGGGTAAATTGGGTTTTTGAGGGTTTATTAATACTATGAGTACTTTTTCTGAATATCCGACTACAATATTTGTTTATTAATCTTAGTTTGAGTTTGAGCTTGAGCAATCCATGAAGTGATGCTTTTATGTGAGTTGTTTTTTTATTTTCTCGGACATGACAGGCATGTTTTTATACATATGAGTTAGCAGGATAACTCTATTTTTTTACTAGTATTTAAATGATTGATAGTGGAAAATTTTAAAAGATACATATTTGATGATACCTATTAGTGGGTGAAATTATAAAGATATTATTCTAGTCAGAAAAGCGCTAAGTGTGCACCAAATTTATAAATATTTATGTTCAATGTTTCAATGATTTGAAATATGACTTGACATGCATCATCCGTTGGAAATGCAAATTATCAGAGAAGATTATTAGGCCTCTTAAAAAGATTAACATTTCGAATCGTAAGAACTTTCACAATTTCTTCCAGGTAAAATAATTTTCCTCCATTCTTCTATTTTAACGATCAGAATTTTCAATAATCAAATATATGATTGCGATAACATTGATCCAAGTTATAATAAATGAATGAAATTTGGGTTATAACTAACGATAAATATTGCAGGATATGCAGGAAAAAACAACATGGAGCAGGCATTGGTTGACCAGGTGGTTGAAACAGCAAACGATTATTTAGGGGGATACTTTAAGTGTTATTTTGCTCCGGAAGACACAAAAAAGGTAATCACAAAACGCTTCTTATTGTAAACTAAATAGATCTTTTTCTCTTTAACGAATTTGAAAATTATCGAATTGTTCCTACACTATAAAACTTTACTTTTAATGTTTTTATACTTTACAATGTTCTAGTTTATTTTATAAAAAAGTATTGGGAGTTATGAACTAATGGTTAACGGTCCTTTTTTAAATTCTGCTTCTGTTGTTTCCTTGAATAATAATGACATATTAAAATGCTCGTGTCTTTTAAAAATAATTGAATAAAAAAATGCTTTGTGATATTGTTATCAATAATGACTAAATATCCTTCTAAATATGTGAACAATTTCTGCAAAGAACGGAAGAAAAATGAAATGATAGTTGTGATCATATATGAAAACGCAAATGTCCAGTTGAAAAAGCGCAAATGTCCTTTTTTTTAAGCGCAAATATTGAATCTACATGCAATTACTCTGTTCATACTTTTTAAGGAGGCATTAGAGAATTATTTGAAGGAATCTACACCTAAAACATTGACCTGTCTCAATAAATGGCTCGAACAAAATAGTGATGGTAATGGCTTCTTCGTTGGTTCTTCGGTAAGTTACTGAAAGGTATTTTGCTCGACGCGAAAAACTTCAAATGTCAAAACTCAATATTTGCTGAAAATAAAACTCATCAAAGATACCAGGATTTTAATTTTGTACGCCAGACGCGCGTTTCGTCTAGACTCATTAGTGACGTTCGAATTCAAAGAGTGAAAAGGCCATTTTTTTTAAAATACGAAGTTGAAATGACTTTATAAATGAGTCGTTGGTAACTTACTGAAAACTATTTCGTTCAATGATAAAAACTAAAATGTACAAAAGCAAACATTTATCAGAAACAGGTGTTTATCACTCGTTAAAATATTGAGAATTAAAATAACGCAAAACATTTTTTACATTGGTCAGGATACCGGTCAAAAGAAACAGAAGAATGAATGTCACACACGTCAAACAATAATAAGAAATCATTTACAAACAAAATACTGAATGCAACCATATATGTGGTATGATTGCAAATAAAACAACTTACCAGCAGAGCCAATATGACGTGGATTTCAGCATATATATCTTACCGTATAGTCTTCAACAATTTGAAAAAACCATGCCCATTAAATAACAATTTATAAATTTGGTGCGTCCGAATCGATTGTCTGGAATTGCCTTCATCAGGAAAGCTCAAAACTAAAAATTTAAAGCCAAGAATGTGTATGTACTTGAATATTGAAGGAGCTGTATGACCAAAACGAAACGATAAAGAAATAGCCAAATCCATTAAAGGTCAACTTTGTCTGATGGGGTTGTAACCTTCTTCATAATTTTTAAATTTACCAACGGATATTTTAAGAAAGGTATGCCATGATTCATTTCAACACTAAAGTACTGAATAATGACCTGCTGAGACCTTCGGTTATAATAAACGGACGATTTTGAACAAAATTGTATCGAATACAAGCTTAATCATGCCATTGTCGATATACTATCGATCTATACTAGGTGAATTGGACCATTGGGAATAACAATCCACAAGCAGCAATTTGATGCCGGTTTCAATGCAAAGTCTTTTGATTGGGAAATTTACGTCGAGTTTGATTGGGGGAATTTACATCCAGTTTGATTGGGGGAATTTACATCGAGATCAAAACATATCTATAACGTTTTGGACCATCATAAAAATTGGATTTAAGAATAAAACCGTCAAAATGTGTCGTTTTACTTGAGGATTTTGTCTCTTGAGCTGTATTACAATTACATTGTCTTTAAACTCCAAATTTTGAATCCAAATGTATTAGCTATCAATAAATGCAGGCTTCTCAAATATAACAATTTATATTATAGATGACCATGGCAGACCTGTGTGTATATGAAGTTTTAACAAATGCAGTTCTAAAAGACTCAAAAATATTGGACGGATTTCCCAAAATTGTAGAACATAGAAAAAGAGTGGCGTCTTTGCCAAAAATTAAAGAGTATCTTGAAAAACGTCCAGCATCAGATGTTTAATGTAATAAGATTGTGAAATGTATTAATAAATATAAAAACCGGCCTTGCAGGTGTGTTTTATTATGGGATTTTTTAACGGCCAATCAAACCGAATATATGAGATTAAATTTCATATACGGTTTAAGTGCTCTATTTTTAAAAGTTCTAACATTTACAACGGAATACCATTGAAATATGTGTATTGTTTTATCAATAAGGCTTAAGTGAATATTGGATAAAAATTATTTGGACCCAGATCATTTCTTTTTTTTTTTCTTTTGAGGTACATCGTTATAGCATTATTGGATTTTGAATAGATAATACATAATATTGAAATTGATGAGTTGAGGCCAAAATATTTGTAAATCAAAACCTAAAAAAAATTCTGAAGGGCTGATATAATCAAAAGGATCAAAAGTTAAGCCAAACCTGGACAAGAATACACTGTTAAACATAGAAGAGGTTATTTCCTTAACGGAAAAGGATTTCCTAGGAAACCCAAAAGTGAAGTAAATAATTAAATTCAACGACAATACATAAATTAAATAAATCAAAGACAACCAGGCAGGTGTAATGACAAACACAAAAGGACATATACAAGCAGTGAACACTTATAAATGAGACTGAAGGTAATATAAATTCACCCACTCCCCAAAAAATTGGTAGTTTAAGGAAATGCATATCCTGCTTCACGTGTGACATTCTTTAAACTCAGTGTCCAGAGGTCAACACTAGTTAAAGGAAATGTCCAGAAAGGGTAAAAACAAGGAGAATGTATCCTATTTATAAAGTCATATTTTATTCAGTTTCAAGACATGTATGTATGGCTTTACCTAATTACTTCGTGTCTTGTAATACAGGCATTAAATATTTAGAGAAAAAAAACTGTGTAGCATATTTACAGACTTAATGAATGAAACTTTGACTCATCTTTTTCTGTCTATACAAGTTTCTTGTGTGGTGTGATCACAATAATCTAAATCCTTTAGTGAGCAAACTTACATACCCCACGTCCCATATAAATTATGATTTTAGACAGTAATAATGTCTTAAATCAATCTATTTTTACCAAGTATGACCTCGAACTTAGACAAAGCAACTTGAAAATCAATAGTGATCTTTCTCTTAATCTCTTAATGTGACCACATATCAGATTTAGGTTGCAATCCCATATGTATAATTTGATTAAACATCAGGAAACCACTTTTAGTCCAAATATAGTTTATTATTAGTAACTTCAACCTTGACCTTTGACGTAGTCACATCAAAATTAATAGGGATATTCCTCATTATATTTGACCATATTTCCAATTCAATAAGAAGATTTGGAGTTAGCATCTGAAAACAAAAATGACTGACGGACTCACAGAATGATGGAGTGTTAAAACTGTATACCCCTCCTACTTCATAGAGTAGGTTTTAAGTTGTTTAAGATGTTGTAAACATTTTTTTCTGACTAAATATGTTGTTTGGGTAGTATTATATTAATCTTTATGTGCATTCCCCAAGTCTGGAGTCTGTAATTCAATGACTGTCATTGGTTGATATCTGTCATATTTGTTTTTCTTCAATTGTTTTAACATTAATCAGGCCATTTGTTTTCTTTTTAGCATTGCTTCACATTTTGTCATGCCAGGTCCTTTTATATTTTACTCACCCAGTTTTTGGTGGGGGTTCTTGTTGCTCAGTTTTCTATGTGATATTTTGATATTTTTGTTTGTCCTTTCACTGTTTTTGTTTTTGGCCATGGCATTGTCTGTTTTAATTGGACTTATGATTTCTGAATGTACCCTTCGCATCTTTCTATCTCTTTTCTACTGTATGGTATAGGTTTTGTTCATTGCTGAAGGCTTTTTGATGGCATACAGTTATTTACACCTCATCCTTTGGTCTCTGTTGGATAGTTGTCTCATTTTTTTACCACATATCACATCTCCGTATATTTTAATTTTTTTTAAAATACTATAGAAAACAAAATTTGTTGTGTTGTGTTTTAATTATTTCAAAATGCATACTTTGTTATATGTCTTTTAGACTGTGAAGAGGAATTGTATTATCCAATGGGCAAACTTCTGACCATATTCATGATAAAAACATGCCTCTGTGATACAGATGAATTCCCTGCTTTGTACAACACTTGACTGACATGTTGAGCTAATTCGGTTATGCCTAGCTTTGATACATTATTCTTACTTTGCACTGTATCCAAAATGTCAAAGGTTTATTTTTAAAGCAGCAAATAGCAATCGTGACCAAGTCTTGACCATGGCAGGGATGAAAACTACTATTTCAATAGTGACTAACATGATACCCAATGGTTGAACAGAAATAACTATAAATCTTTCCATTCAGTTGTCAAAAGAAAAAACAAAGCAACAGATTGATGATTTCTTTTATTTTAAGCATCCCTTATCTTCCAATTATATTAAGAGTGAGATTTTTTGCTGTTATCATTTCTCTTGTTTCTTTCTTCTTTTTAAATTTAGGTGGGAGTAAAAGAGAACATCACAATAAAATTGATTTACATACAGAAATATGTATAACTATTTACAACATCCTATTTATCACATTGCACGTATCATCAACTCAGGTATTCTAGACTTGCTTTGGCTTTCTCCATTTCATGAAGGAATGAGTAAAATTGTGGAAGCGTTAACTCTGTAAAAATAAAAATAAAGTCATAAAATATATGGTACATGATTGAGAGTGATGTAGTAATTGCAAACTGTAATTTTATTAATTGTAATTGTATTTTTTAAATAACTTTTGTTTTCAAGAAAACTGCTTTAAAATATATAAAATTCTCAATAACTTCATATTTTATATAAAAGTCATTATCAATATAACTTATAAAATACTTAGTACACAAAAAAACTTAAACAAAAATTGAAATATTAAATAAAGGTCTTATTATCTATCTTCAAAGATACAATCTATATATCTAGATATAATTCAGTAATAAATGTTGGTTTCTGTCTACAATACTTTTTGTTCTTTGTTGAAGAACAAATCAGGCAATTGGTTTTCTCTTATCAATTGTGTTCAAGGAAATCATATCATATAGGTTTTTTTAAATAATGATGAATAGCAAAGTATGGCCATAATCTATATGGTAGTATTTACATTACAGTTTTCCTTTAAGTTACAAAATTACTTTGCACTGAATTCAGACAAGATATTAATGATTCCCATGGTACATTAAACTCACCCATATATGTATTTTTTATCCCATTGCCTGTATTTATAGCCAACTTCAACTAAAATAAATTACATGTATTTTTTTAAGTATTGATATAAATGTATTCTTAGTTCAATATGGACAGAAAGTCAATATCAGATGTGAAAATTCAATATTTTAAATAAGAAAATTGTTAAAGACCACTTTAAAATAATATATATAATCAAGATGGGAAAATTTAGACACTTGTATAATTTATTTTGTATTTAGTATAACATAACAGATTAGATTCTGTCATTAAAAAATGTAAATGTTTATTAATTGTTGTTCAATGAAGTTAGACTGCAATCTTACTATTTAGACAATGAAATGACAAATTTTGTCCTGTCATTATTAAAAAATAATACCGTAAAATTTGCAAATTTTCGGGAGGTTTTAATGATTATTAAAATTCTTAATCCATTCTAAAATCAATCCAGTAATTTGCTGAATAATGTGGAACATGTTGTGATTATAATAATTAGACTGCTCTATTTGATTTGTGGCTTTCTTAAAGTTTTAAAGGGCAGCTAGAGGTCACAATCAGCATGAAATCTCCGGAAGGGGGCGCACATCAATCCTTTTGTGGTAGGGGCAAGCAGCTAAGACATCTAATTACAAACACTTTACATATATTTTAAATAACAAAAAAAATATACCCTACCATATTTTTTTTACCCCCAAAAAATACCTATAGCTCTTATGATTACACAATTTTATGGAGTGATAATTAGACTTGACAAATAGTCTATGCAATTAGCACTAAAGATCTGATCTGTTTCAGATACTTATGGTTCAACCAGCAATATTTTTATATATTTCCATCTTTATTGCTTGATCTTATCATTGTAAATGAAGCTTACTAGTGACCTATTCCAATGTCTCATCCCTACCACTCATTACAAAGTAAGTGCTCATTCCCCTGCCATCTACTGTTCATCGGGATTAAATGTTATGTCCTTATGTATAATGTCGACATATTCTGGACCAAATCAATTGTTTTTATTGGCCTATCAGTTCTTCAAACATGCATGTTTAATATTTACTTAACCTTTGAGACTCTTTGCAATAAAAAAAAAATGCTCTCCACCTGGAGCAGCTGGATACAGTTGGGGCAAGTATAGACACAATATTCAAGCTTGATACAGCTCTGAATTTGGATAGTGATTAAATATTTGACACATTATAGATTTCTGACACAGAATAAATGTGGTCAGATAACTTAAAAATTTGAAATGGGACATTTAATCTACTTAATTGTCCAATATCCAAAATCTAATTCCATGGTTAGATTCAGCATAAAAAAAATAAATCAGGAATGTGTCCATGGGACACAGATGATGCCCCTGCTTGCATATAACGTTAAAATGGGCCATAACTCAAGAACTGTAAAAGTGACACTACCCAAATTTGAACTTGATCTGAGTTTTGTGGTAATAAGCATTGTTTATAAATTTCATAACATTTAGTTGACGTAAACTTAAATTAGAGAACAGAGACCAAAAATTCAGCAATTTTTCCATTTTTAAAGGGCATAACTCTAGAACAGTAGAAATGACACCACCAAAATTCAATCTTTATCTGTGTTTTGTGGTAATTAGCAGTATGCATAAGTTTCATAACATTTGGTTGAGGCACACTAAAGTTAGAGAACAGAAACAAATATTTCAGTAATTTTGAGATTTGTAAAGGGGCATAACTTTAGAGCAGTGAAAGTGACACCACCAAAATTCAAACTTGATCTGTGTTTTGTGGTAATAAACACTGTGGATAAGTTTTGGTTGAGGCAAACTCAAGTAAGAGAACGGAAACAAAAACATCAGCAATTTAATTCATTTGTAAAGGGCATAACTCTAGAACGGTAAAAGTGACGCCACCAAAATTCAAACTTGATCTGTGTTTTGTAATTATAATAAACATTGTAGATAACTTTCATAACATTTGGTTGAGGCAAACTAAAGTTATAGAACGGAAACCAATTTTGGGACATACGGACGGACGGACGTACGGACAGACAGACGGACTTACAGACAGACAAGGGTAAAACTTAATGCCCCCTCTGCTACGGCGGGGGCATAAAAACCATGAATCCAAACAAAGTTTAATTTTGGACCCTTTGGACCTTAATATGGACTAATTTGAAAACAGGGCCCAAAATTAAAAATCTGAATGCACAGTTACATTCAGCATATCATAGAACCACAAGAATTCAGTATTTGATGAAATCAGACAAAGTCTTATTTTGGACCCTTTGGACCTCAATGTAGACCTATTTAAAAATGTCCAAATATCCAATATAGTAATAAAATTGAGAATGGAAATGGGGAATATGTCAAAGAGACAACAACCCAACCAAAGAGCAGACAACAACCGAAGGCCACCAATAGGTCTTCAATGCAGCGAGAAAATCGTGCACCCGGAGGTGGTCCTCAGCTGGCCCCTAAATAAAATAGTGTGCTGCTTCAGTGAAGATGGACGTCACACATGTTATACATGTAAGTAATACATGGTAAAAACCTCAAACAATTCAAGACTTTAAATTAATCCTCATTGAAATTGGTTAACAGATTTGTATTTTATTTTCAATTGAAGATTTCTTGCTGTTGTGCAGTACTTAGTAAATCTGTTTACAAACTAAATATAATAATTTACACACCCTGTTTGGTGTGTATCTCCTGCCATATCAGTATTTGTTGTTTCTTTATATAGATCAGAAATAATTTATATGTTAGAAACAGTATTAGAAAAGTCTTGTTTTTGGCCCCTATTTGGCCTCTAGTTTCTTAACGATTAAAGCCATAACCCACAAAATCGACCCCAATCTTAGTATTTGTCCCAAACCAGAAAAACCTTGTTTCTCCCCCCTTTTTGTCCCTTATTCCTGAACAGTTTGAGCCATAACCCCCAAAGTCAAACCCAACCTTCCCTTTGTGGAATGGAACCTTGTGTTTCAATTTCATAGAGATCCATAGACTAATACTTAAGTAATTGTCCATTAACCAGAAAAACCTTGTTTTTCACCCCTTTTTTTGCCCCTAATTCTTGAACGGTTAGGGCCATAACCCCCTAAGTCAATCCCAACCTTCCCTTTGTGGTATGGAACCTTGTGGTACAATTTCATAGAGATCCATACACTTATACACAAGTTATTGTCCGGAAACTAGAAAAATGCCTTTTTTGGCCCCTTTTTGACCCCTCATTCCTAAACAGTTTGAACCATAACCCCCAAAATCAATCCCAACCTTCCTTTTGTGCTATTGAACCTTGTGGTACAATTTCATAGAGATCCATTCACTTATACTAAAGTTATTGTCCGGAAACCAAATGTCTTCGGACGATGACGACGACAACAAAATAGCAATATACATGTACGAACGCAAATTTTTATATAAAAATCCATAGGATTAAATGGGAAAGCCAATCAAAATCAAGATTATATAGACCATGTTACGCATACAACTGAAACAAAATAAAGCATTTCATAAAGGGCATCCTATCAAGATTGTTTTTTCAATATTGTCAAGCAGTTTATGAGAAGGGGTGAAAAAAAAGTTCAAGAAGGACATATGTGGCACTACAACAACTAAGTATACCACAGTAATAAGCACAGTATAAGGAATAACTGTAAAGGTTTCCTAACAAAAATTATTAGTTTGAACATATTGGCTTTGTATTTTCAGATGTAAAAGAAAACTGACAAATCAGAGTTCAATATTCCTTGAGGGGACTAAATTTTTCATGTGACAGGTGAACTTTTCATAGAAGTCTTTTCAAAAATTATAATTTGAAGTTTGTTTGATATAATGATATTAATTCAATAGTTTCAGAAATGAAAATGTGGTCTTTAATTATTCCTATGCATAGGCAATAAATTTTAAAATTGACACATCAGAATCAGAGGTTTTTTGGTCCCACTTAAACAAATTGAGAAAGGCCCCTCCTTTGTTATCACTTCCTAATCAAGTAATTTCAAGGGAGATGATAAATGACATTTCCAATAAGGTTCAGTGAAAACATAAGAAAAATCACTAACTAGCAACATGTATGACACCAGTACAGAATATAATAAAATGCTCCGCTGGGGCGCAGCTTGATACGACCGCAGAGGTCGAACCCTGAACAGTTGGGGCAAGTATGGACACAACATTCAAGCTTGATACAGCACTGAATTTGGATTGTAATTAAATATTTGACACAGCATAGGTTTCTGACACAGAATGAAAATGGTCTAAGAACTTAAAAATTTTTAATTTACCAATTCAAACCATATTATTATCATTTGCTTTTATATATAAATCAGAAATAACCAATTTAAAATGGAAAATTTTAAAGAAAAAAAAGGGAAAAAAAATCCCCCCCCCCCCCAAAAATTTTTTGAACCCCCTTATGATTCATAACCGCCAAACTCAATCCCAGCCTTCCCTTTGTGGTATGGTACCTTGCAGTACAATTTCAGAGAGATCCATACACTTGACCACAAGTTATTGTCTGGAAACTAGAAAAATGCTTGTTTTTTGGCCCCTTTTTGGCCCCAAATTTCTAAACGTTAAGGGCAATTACCCCAAAACTCAAACCCAGCTTTCCCTTTGTGATATGGAACCTTGCAGTACAATTTCATAAAGATCCATACACTTACACACAAGTTATTGTCCTGAAACTAGAAAAATGCTTGTTTTTTTGCCCCTTTATGGCCCCTAATTCCTAAAATTTTGAGGGAATTACCCCCAAATCAATCCCAGCCTTCCCTTTGTGCTATGGTACCTTGCAATACAATTTCAGTGAGATCCATACACTTGAACACAAGTTATTGTCTGGAAACTAGAAAAATGCTTATCTTTGGCCCCTTTTTGGCCCCTTATTCCTAAACGTTTTGGGCAATTACCCCCAAACTCAAACCCAGCTTTCCCTTTGTGATATGGAACCTTGTAGAACAATTTCATAAAGATCCATACACTTACACACAAGTTATTGTCATGAAACTAGAAAAATGCTTGTTTTTTGCCCCTTTTTGGTCCCTAATTCCTAAAATTTGGAGGCACTTACCCCCAAAATCAATCTCAGCATTCCCTTTGTGATATGGAACCTTGTGGTACAATGTCAGAGAGATCCATACAATTACACACAAGTGATTGTCATGAAACTAGAAAAATGCTGGTTTTTTTGCCCCTTTTTGGCCCCTAATTCCTAAAATTTTGAGGGAATTACCCCCAAAATCAATCCCAGCATTCCCTTTGTGATATGGAACCTTGTGGAACAATGTCAGAGAGATCCATACACTAACACACAAGTTATGTCTGGAAGTTACAATAATGCTTATTTTTGGCCCCTTTTTGGCCCCTAATTCCTTAACTGTTGGTACCATAGCCCCCAAAATCAATCCCAGCATTCCTTTTGTGGTATTGAACCTTATGGTAAAATTGCATAGAGATCCATTGACTTAAACTAAAGTAAGAATGCGAAAACCAATGTGTCTTCGGACGACAACGACGACAAGGACGACGATGACGACAACGCCAACATCATACCAATATACGACCACAAAATTTTTTTGTGGTCGTATAAAAATGAAGTAGGTGTGATATCATTGCCAATGAGACAACAATCCAACAGAGTCCAAAATGATATGGAAGTAAGCAACTGTAGCTCACTGTATGGCTTAAATGTAATGCAAAATTACTACATGTATCTTCTACAGAAATTCTCTGATTATTAAGCTGACAAATTATAGTTTTACCTTCAACTTTGAGAGATGCTTTTCTTATATCTTACGTGATTACACCTATTTTGACAGTTTTTTCACCTACGTTAATTTATGATCCAGACAAAAGTTTCCATTTTGTAGATGTATCCTTATTTACTATATAGTTACACCAATTTAATTTTGAATCCATCTTGAATCATAGAAATATGGGTTTGAACCGACCTCCAAACGATCCATGATTCTGTAATGAGGAGTACCCAAATTGCATCCATGCTTATATTCACATCCTTAAAAATCGAATAACAGATGTTTTGTTTTATTTCTTTAAATATTTAGAACAATTTGACATTAGTCCATGTTTACTATTCATTTTTTAAGAAATGGATGCTTGTAACATATTTTATTTGCTCATTTTCAAAAGATGACTTTTTGTGGACGTCGCCATGCGACGTTCTGTAGATTTTACTTTTTCTAGTGAATACATCATCTGTTGATATATACTGTGAACGTTTTGTGTAAATTTAAATATAGCCTACCTATGTTGAAAGACCTGTATAATGTCAAATCAGGAAAATACAAATTGTTAAGTCTCAAAGAAAACTTGTAAGATTTCTGCTGCTATTTTTGCTAAATAAGTGCAATTTGGGTACTCTGACGTTAAATATCTAAGCAACCAGATTACAATTTTTGTCAATATACATACAAAATATAGTTTTCATAAAAATTACTGAAAAGGAAAGCTGTTGTTGGAAAATGTAGAAAAGAAAGCAACAAAAAAGTTAAATTTGGTGTATTATTCACATATCTAACTACATGTGTACTTGACTAAGCTTTAAAAATAATATTTGATTTCATAAAGAACGATTCTTATTTTATGAATAAATTCCAAAACTGATTAAGCACATCAAAGTAACTTCTTTAATACATGCTGTTTAAAATTATTTCTACATTACATTTTGTATAAAAGTATATATGCATGTAAAGTCACGTACCTGTAAGAATGTATTCCCCACCTTGTCCACCTGACTGCTTGCAGCTGTTACTGTAATAGTATGATGTAACTTAATCAAATACTTCCGTATGCAAAAACACAGCGTAATACAACAGCTTTCAAATAATTGATGATTCTTATGAATTATACTTTTCTTTTTGAACTACTACATATTTGACAAACAGCCAAAATATTAGAATTATCATAAATTCATAACTTAACATTTTATCTAATGATAAATATAATCTACCAAATCAGTAATTAATCATGATATAGTATTTTAAGAGTAAAAAGGAACATTCAGTCTTCAACAAAAGACAGGTATCTTTACAATATGTCAAGCTCTAAATTGTCCTAAGATTATAAAAGTTTATCAGAAACAATGGACAAAGATTTGCAATTTAAACCCAATTTGAAAACTAATGAGAAAAAAAATGGCTTTTTTAAAAAAAAACACAAATACATTATAATCTCTAAATATCACGGCTGCATACTTTAAAATGAAAAAAAAATTAAAGATACAATTTATGGGATATTTCAGACAAATATACATTCATATGATCATTTAAAATTAAAATGAACTAGTTGTGTGAAGCGCAAATACATGTAATGTTACTGTAAACTGGCAAGTTTTGTCTTATTTTGGAGGTAAGAGTTGAAATGAGAAAAAAAATTAACCGCAAATATTTCAGGGAAATCTGATTCATAGGATGAAGACAATACATATATGAACTTATACCAATAAAATATGTGGAGAAACAATAAACAACAACAGGTGTAATAGAAGACAGAATATATCACAAATCTTAACTGTATTTCTTAATAAAAGGCCATGTTAAAAATCAAAACTTTAACTCATAATAGTCTAATACAATTGTAGAAATCTCAAACAAAAGGACATTATTGATGTTGTTTTTTAAACAAAACTAGTTACAGGTTAATGACACCTGTCAATCATTTTTAAAACATTGTATATGCTACAAAGATCAATAAGATGGAACAATAAGTCAATTGATAAATAAGCAGTAATACTCGCATCTTATTTAATTTATTCTTCTCTTTAAGTTATGTATGTGTTCTTACAAGCAAACACATGCATAGCTTAAAGTGAAGAATTAAGAACGAGTAAATAAGATAGACCTTGCCATTTCCTGGTCTCGTACAATAAAGTTTATATTATCTGACAATGACCTAAATTTGTATATTAAGATGTTATCAACGGAAATTAAAAACCAAATGCAATATCAAAGAACCTATGAAAAACAATCCATTCTGAAACTTAACCATGAAAATCAATCCTAATGAAATCAATATTTATAGAGGCTACTATAAAAGCATGACATTTTTACAATATGATAATTTAAATTTCCTACAGTATTATGTTTAAATACGCGTGAATAAATTGCATAATAATGAACAGTACATACAAATAATTTGAGGGGCTGATTTTTTCAATGCTCTTGAAATTAAAATTTTTTCCTTTATTCAATTACGGTTAAGGTTGACTTTCTTCTCAAAGGGAAAAAAACATGATGGTCATCTCGGCGTAGATCTGATGTACATGCAGGTGATAACAAGTATTGTGTCTTTAAATTGGACATGTATACACATTTCGTACAAAATGACATATAAACGATGTCAAACATGTTAACCAATCCCTTCTGCAACTTTGCTACAACTAAAGGGATGATAATGAGAGTAAAATGACACTACCTCCAAATTTCCATTCCATGTCTACAAGCTGATTTACTGTTAATGTCTGTCCTAAAGCACCTTTAGATAAGGCTGCTAAATTGTTGTTCCACTACAAATAAAAAAAAAACTGAATTTTTAAAATCAAAAGTGTATCAAGCTGAATCTTTGAATTATGGACAGAAATATTTGGTTTATTCTATTTCCAATCTATCAAACACGTTTATGCTTTCTTTTTTGTTAAAAATTATAGTTGAGAATTAAAAAATGTACACTGTTTAAAAATTTTACACAAAATACTAAGCAACAAAATAAATTAATATTTCATTTTGTGCATTATATCTTTTGATCTTACTTTAAGAAGAGGAAAGTTTACATGCTGAGAAATAAAACACTGACAGAACAGGAAGTATGGTAAACATAAATGATAGAATTTTACAAATTCAAAAATATCTAGTTCATGTCATGATATTTCCAAAAAAAAAAAAAAATAAAAAAGTGCATGTCAATATGCTTCTTCTAAAGCAACGGACTATTCAAATTTTCATAATTAATAAGAATAACATAAACCATTTTTTTTTTATTAATATTATTTAATTCAAAAGCCCTGTGACCCTATTCATCATACTCTGACCCTAGTCATCACATTCTGACCCTAGTCATCAAACTCTGATCCTAGTCTTCACACTCTGACCCTAGTCATCTCACTCTGAACTTAGTCATCATACATCATAGTCTGACCCTTGTCATCATACCCTGACCTAGTCATCATACTCTGATCCTAGTCATCATACTCTGACCCATTCATCACACTCTGACCCTAGTCATCATACTCTGACCCATTCATCACACTCTGACCCTAGTCATCATACTCTGACCCAGTCATCACACTCTGACCCTAGTTATCACACTCTGACCCAGTCATCACACTCTGACCCAGTCATCACACTGTCCCAGTCATTACACTCTGACCCTAGTCATCACACTCTGACCCAGTCATCAAACTCTGACCCTAGTAATCACACTCTGACTCTAGTCATCACACTCTAACCCTAGTCATCATATTCTGACCCAGTCATCACACTCTGACCCAGTCATAATACTCTGACCCAGTCATCACACTCTCAACCTAGTCATCAAACTCTGACCCAGTCATCGCACTCTGAACTTAGTCATCACACTCTGACCCTAGTCATCAAACTCTGACCCAGACATCATACTCTGACCCTAGTCATCATTCTCTGACCCAGTCATCACACTCTGACCCTAGTTATCACATTCTGACCTTACAATTTAGTGAGCTAATCTAATATAAAACACAAACCTGCTGACAAAAATAATCTGCTTTTTCTTCAGACAAACCTAAACAAAAACAAAAATCATGACAGTCAAATGCATATATCTAATATTTATCATAGATAAGTTTATGAGTTAATGCCATTATTATTGTCATAATAAATCATCTGTAAAATGTAAAGGAGTAAGTTGGGTAAGGGTCATATTTGGCCCTTTTTATTAAGTTTAATGTTTCAAGACAAAAAATGTTTAAGTTGATTAAAAGACATTTAAGAAACTTAAATTAAACTAGTTTTGTCCAAGTTTTATTTTAAAGTGTTAATTTTTATCTCCCAAGTAGGCCAAAAATGGTGATTTTACTGAAATTAGACCAAATTTGTCTGGATTTCAATCAAATTAAGGCCTAGGAAATATAGAGAGCAGGAGTCAACAAACTAAATATTCAAGTCAGATATGTAAAATGTTTTAATAAACATTATGTAAAAAGATCTTTTTTTTCGACGCATTGAATTTTCGGGAAAATCAAAATGAGAGCTACTTGTGACGTCATGAATAAAACACAAGTATGTAAATTTTCAACAAAAAGACATATTTCTTAGCTTGTCATTGTATTAGCTATGATTCATTGTGATATTGGTCAATAAATCCTAATTTGAAATGTAGCTGGAAATAAGGGCCATTTTAAGGCCTTATCGAACCTACTCCTTTGAATACAAATTTTGCTACACATATTTAATTTTTTTCACTCCAGTTTTACATATGTTTCTAAATGATGAACTATCATGTAAACAATACTGAATTATATATTACTATAATTAGTCTAAATATCTCTAAGAATCAAAGGGAAATATATTCACAATGATGAAATTATAAAAATACTGTGGATTCATTTATTTTCGCGGGTATAAATTTTCGTGGATAGAGAAAAAAAGACATTTCGTGGTATACTTAAATTCGTGGATCGCTGATTACAAAAAAAAAATCAGATACGTAATTCGTGGATCGCTGATTACAAAATAAAAAATCAGATATGTAATTCGTGGATTTCTTTTTGATTTAGGAGATCATATAACCTCCTTGATTGATCAATAATAAAACAAACAAAAAAGAAGGAATTCATTGAAAAAGTTTTGAATTGTCAAAATCCTCGCTTGGTCATTCTAGGTTAAAGTGTTCAATGAAAACTTCTATTACAATAATGAACAGAGACAACTAATTATTTGTTTGTTTTACAATTTATAAATTCTTGTCGGAATTTTATAAAGCATTCAAAACTCTATGATTGAAAGCTCATTTCCCTAATCACGATATAATAAACAGTCATATAAGTAAAAGGTGTGAAAATAAATGTTCCTGTCATAAACAATATTGCCTACAGGCAATATCCCCGTACTTAATCCTATTGATTTTTAACCACCAGTAAACCAAACTATGACACGGTAATTAACAACTTGCAGTTATTTTCCATGAACAGTTTTAATCAATTTTAAAAAGTAAAGTATCACTGATATTCGATATATTTATCATTGATTTAATCAAAATACTTGTATCTTCTTTCATTAAAAACATGTGTTATGTTACAATGTTTATCGCTAGTCAACACTATACTAGAACTGCATAACATAACCGGAAATAAACATCCAACTCCATACACATTTCTCGGGATTATTCTTCGTTGAATTCCTAAATTCGTGGTTCGCTGTGACCCAAGAAACCCACAAAATTGGTATACCACGAATAAAAATGAATCCACAGTAGTCCACTTGTCAACTAACGACTTTGTTTACAGTATTTGAATGCAGATATTGTGAGAACGTGAAAAGGGAAGATTGTGTCTAGTATTTCTTACAAAGCTTTGCCAGTTACAGCCAATTAGGTTGAAATGACTGGAAAATACAAAATTAACATAATCTTCTGGATTTCAACCATAATTAGGCCTAGGAAACATAGATCAAAGAATAAACATACTCCTTTCAGTATTAGGATCATTTTTGTTTACAAATGAAGATTTTTATAAAAGATAATAGAAATTTAAACTACACATTTACATGTTTAATGAGTAGTGGCATCTTTAATGACAACTTTGGTATAAACATTTACCTAAATTGACAAGATCTTCCTTCAGTTGGGTAACATTTAAACTTTTCTTTAGAGCCCCTGAAATTATCAATTATAAAAACAATCAATATTACTAATATGAAACTTCTACAATTCATTCTAAAAGACATGTTTCTTTTGTTTTTATGCCTCATTGACGTACACATCACATCTTTTTTTATTCATAACCATGATTCCCTTTGCATTCTGGAAATGAGCAAAGAGTCACCAGTTAAAAGTGTTATTAAAAAAAGTGTTTTTTTATATGAACAACATTCAGTATCAAATAATATCTACTTATTTTGTGACTTTATCAGTTCTTGTCATAGCCTGCTTAATTGTTCTATTTAGTTACAAATCAAATATTCCTTACAACATTTAAGTCTAAATCAATGGAATAGATTAATCTTAAGAATTTGATATTGAATTACACAATTTTTTTAGTTCACAACTTTTTTTTTTAAAGTCAGGGCAACAATCGTGTCTGACTGCTTGTAATTGTGTTCTTCACAAATGTGGATCTATCACAAGCAGGGTTGTACCAAAGACTTTAAAGTTAGTATTTGATGACTCACAATATAGAAGTCACAGCAATAACATGTAAACTCACAGTTTGGTAGTCTGACATGTTGTAGTTCTGACAGCTGTTACCTTGTGAATTAGCATATTTTAAATGTGACTGAGTGTGTCTGTCTAGTACAAGGTCAGGTAAAGTGCACAACAAACAATCTTATGAACTTTTTTTCTGTTTACAATTAAGAAGAATGATACGTTAATTACTACACAATATCATTTTCAAAAGTCATCTAAAATTTCTTACCATTTGGGATTGCTATCAAACTTTTAAATACACCTTTTAAAGCATTGCTGTTCACACTGTTTTGTTCTGCAAAATCTTCAAGTTTTGTCATCAACCTGGATGCCTAAGTCAAAAAGAACATAAATGTACTTTTTCTCTATAAACTATATACCTAAGGAGAACAGAACAAAAATGTATGACCCATGCAATCCTAGTTAAAAACCTCATAAGGGTTGGTCTAATGCCATGTCTTATTGCTTTTAGGTTGTTTTTTTTTTATTTGTAGAATTAGGTGTTAATGGCACATCTTTTGATATAGCATCTTCGTCTTTTTAAAATTTGGGTCAACCAAGAGGTCATATGGTACACCTTAATGTATTTTATACTTTTAAATACTCCCTTAATAACTTAATAATCAATACACATATACATGTTGATGAGTGTATGTTTATGATATGGGTTTCTTGTTTCTCCTTTTTTTTCTGTGTATACTATGACTTTTTCACATGAGTATTTGATTAATGGAGGTCAATTCTCACATTTTCTGTTTGCTCTTCTGGATTATATTCCATTTTATTGCCCAGGAACATGTTGTATGTAATGATTTCTCAAAATATACATAACAATTCTAACATATATATATTCAAATTTGTTTTTATTTCTTTATTTCATTTTTCAAACATTTACACACATTTCTTATATTACACAGGCCTAGAGACATAAATTTCCAGCCGAATATTTTGTTTTATAAATGTTCAAATTTCACAATGAGCACTAAGACATATTCTAAGTTATTTCATTATTTAATTATTTTTCACTTAATACATATTTCATTTATGGATTACCTTTCCTGGTTCAGACAAAAATTCTAAGGAATATTCTACCAGTTCATTGAATTGCTGAAAGTAAAAAAAATAAGATTTACAAAATCTTTTCAATGATACTGAATGTGACAAGCCTCTGCTCTACTCACAGGCACTTGTCTCTGAAAAAAACCATATCATCATAGCATGTGTTATATTAAGGTATATAGGTAAAAAAAAAACCAGAGACAAGTGCTTGTGGCTCTACTATCTGTTTTGATCATAATTAAGTCAAGAAAGGAAATTTCTTCCTCCAAATATTGACGGTGTGAATTTTCATAACAAACACTGAGGATTCAAAAAGATTTATAGAGCAAAGAGTTAAACAGATCATTATCATATCCTTGTAAGCAAAACAGCATTATTATATCCTTATAAGCAAAGAGTCAAACAGAGCATTATCATATCCATGTAAGAAAAGAGTTAAACAGATCATTATCATATCCTTGTAAGCAAAGAGTCAAACAGATCATTATCATATCCTTGTAAGCAAAGAGTTAAACAGATCATTATCATATCCTTGTAAGCAAAGGGTTAAACAGATCATTATCATATCCTTGTAAGCAAAGGGTTAAACAAATCATTATCATATCCTTGTAAGCAAAGAGTCAAACAGAGCATTATCATATCCTTGTAAGCAAAGAGTTAAACAGCATTATCATATCCTTGTAAGCAAACGGTTAAACAGATCATTATCATATCCTTGTAAGCAAAGAGTTGAACAGATCATTATCATATCCTTGTAAGCAAAGGGTTAAACAGAGCATTATTATATCCTTGTAAGCAAAGAGTTAAACAGATCATTATCATATCCTTGTAAGCAAAGAGTCATTAAATAATGTAATGTAACAGAATATTGAACCACCTTACAGATTTTATTCTAACATTGATACACACTCAAGATATTTCATTTATTTCTTAATGACAGGCTTCAACTATTCAACAAAGTTAAACTTATCACAGAATTTTTACTTCTACTGAACACCACAACATATGCCACTAATGTGGCAGATTTGTTCATACTTCAGATCCGAGATTACCCCATATTTTCAGTGGGGATCTTGCTTTTTAGTCTTTAGTTTTCTGGGTTATGTACTCTTCGATACAACTTTCAAAAAGATGACTTCAGCTCCCTAGTGAGTAGAAACTCCCTATTGAGAAAAATTCTGACAACCAAGTTGTAGACTATTGTACCAACCGGGAGATATATACTTCACATGCAGGAACTGCTGGAAACGTGTAAAAACAAAAAATTATTTGAACCTGGAATAATTTTGAATTCTGGAAAATTGATAAGAAATCTATGATGAAAACTTTCTCAATTTAGGAGGGTTAGCCATGCATGCATTGCTAAGGAGGTTACTTACCGGTAGTTCATATTGAAATATCAGTGAAAGTAATATTAACCTTAGCCATGCGCACATGGCTAACCCTCTTTAGTTTTGTGTTAGTTTTCATCATACATTTCTTATCATCTTTCCAGAATTCTAAATTAATCCAGATTCAAATAATTCCTTGTTTAACATAAAACAGTTGACACAAGAGATGTCTTGATCACTTTAAATTTTAATTTTTACCAATCAACCTTATTTTAAGAAGTAGAAATTTAAAAACAAGCTTAAGGGGAGTAACTTGAAATTTATTTTGAGAAAAATGGTTGAAATAAACATATTATTTATAACCTCAGGCTTAGGCTGAGGTAACAGGTATTGATTAACAGTATGTTCGACACCCAAGCTGTCAAGTGAAACCACTAAATTGTCAAAATTTTCTGAATTTGCTGGTAACAAACTACCTTCATCAGTGAAACAAAATCAATATCAGGGAATGACATTGATCATATAACAAAAATGAAGACAAACAAGTTTTTGGGGTAGAAATATCTAAAAAGTGGAAGACTTAAATTTTAACAGGAGGGGCAGAAGAGGGCTTGAAAATTGTGACATTTTGACTCCAGTGTGAAGAATCACATGTATGAGAACGATATTATTAGATTTATTGTAAAATTCATTAGTGATAAGTACCATGTTAGAAATGCTTTGTTGAGTAATAAATAACTTTGATGTACAATTACCACCTCCTCAGTCTAGGTTATACAAATATATTAATTATTTGTTATTGAAATTTTTCATTTTAATTTGTGAAGAGATATACAACATCTATAAGTATATATATATTTATTATATACTTAGTAGTAAATACAGATAAATTGTATGTGTAATACAATCATTGGCAAGCGTGCTGTATCAGCCACCCGTGATGATATCGATATCAGCACGGTTGCAAAGGCTTTATCACACCTTTAATCTGTATGACGTCACATCATCAATTGCAGTCACTGTTGCAAAGGCTTTATCAAACCCCTAATCTGTATGACGTCATGTCAAAACTATAATCTGTATGACGTCATTTAAAACCTCCTTATCTGTATGACGTCATGTCACATAAAAAAAATCTATGTGAGGTATATGTATATAATAAAGTGTATATGATATGGCTTTTTCAATATCACACACCATATCAACCCTCAACCAATATAATCCCTCGAGCAGAGCTCTTGGGATTATATTGGTGTCTCGGGTTGATACGGATGTGATATTGAAAAAGCCATATGATATTCTCTATATAGAACATTTGGTGTCTGTAAATACATCAAACTGGCTGGATAATCTTGTGGTAGCTAAAATGTAGCTCACTTCATTTGTGAGAGATTTTGGGTTTTATTCCTTGCCAAAAACCAAAAGACTTTAAAACAGGTATTTACTGCTACTTTGTCAAGCGCACATACATACAGAATTTAGGTTAAAAGGCTAATTGACTCAAAGTCAGAATAATGAGTTTAGAGTTACAGTAAGGTTTGATTGTTGGTAGCTACACATCCAGTGGCAAATATTTTATGCATGTTCAGGACGAGGCTAAGGTGACATGATAATAAATCTTCCTACAGACTTTTACCTTGTGAGCTAGGAAATCAGCAGTCTGACTTAACAGATTGGTCAAAGCAGGGTTCATGTGTGTATATTATCATGCCATTGCCCTAAATATGCTTGTCATATTTTCCATAGGAAATTAAGAATCTACCAATCAATCAATCGGTCATCACTTTACCTAATCAGAAAACTTGCCATTTAAATATCATAGTCACTAGGACAAGTTCAAGGAAAATTTTCAGTAAAATTACCATGAGCCTGTTCATTATCTCCATCTAAGACGAAGTGGTGATTAGACGCTCATGATGATTGTTAATCCAAATATATGTACAATAAAAAAGCAATAATCCTGACGTCTTTTGAGGATATTCTTTTTTAATTTAGATTTTTATAGATCTATCACTGATGTTGGAAATAGTATGATGTCCCAGGTCAATGCAAAAGTTAGCCTTCCAAGACATGATAAACATTTGGACTAGATGATTATTTGAATAATAAAATACTACAATAAAAAGGAACCGAAACGACAATTTCTTATTTGTTAAAGGAACTGTGAATTACATTTGTTTGAAACTGACGTCTTTTGAGGATATTCTTTTTTAATTTAGATTTTTATAGATCTATCACTGACGCTGGAAATAGTATGATGTCCCAGGTCAACGCAAAAGTTAGCCTTCCAAGACATAAACATTTGGACTAGATGACTATTTGAATAATAAAATACTACAATAAAAAGGAACCGAAACGACAATTTCTTATTTGTTAAAGGAACTGTGAATTACATTTGTTTGAAACTTGTTCAGAGTCTGTATATCTGTAAACATAGATTCAGGGGGTGTTTCCTTGCTGAAATGAAAAGTAGCTGCCATTTTTATAATCACATGACTTTTCTACGGATGTGTCTAACAACCAATAAATGTATATAAACAAAAAAATGGTCACGTCCGATTAACAAGCGACACCATCGTATGAAAACAGGGCAATTAAACAGAGTAATGATAAGAAATAAAAAAAAATGCAAAACGGAAAGCCAATTAAATATACGGAACTTAATTATTGCCCTAAAGTAGTTTTTATCCTGAAGTCTCAAAATCTGCGAAAAAAACTTCGGAGGTTTGTTTTAGTAAATAAAGCCGCACTGAGGACGTCTGCTTCTTATTGCTGGAAAAAGGTTATGGGTCCGTACCTTCCGTACAATACTTTATTTAATGCTTACAAAAATGAAAAAGAAAATTTGATACTTCAAAGTTAACTATCTTGATCGGTTTTTTTTTTTCTCTACACTTTGAAGACCGTTACCACCCTGCCGTGTCAAAGAAAGCCCACACCACGCATGTGGCGTTTTACACAGTGTCATGATATGCTGTAATGTGCTTTGTTTTGGTAGCAAATCATATCGATTTTAATGACATACAGTTTTGATCCTATTGGGTATAAAAAAATGTATATTTTCAGTGAAAAATAACACAGTAGACTGCATTTTGGCAGCCGCAACGTATAATCAAAATTGTATCATTTCGGCTTCTTTACTACCGCTAATCGTCCCAAAAATGCATGTAAGAAGTCCTGTTAAGCATCAACCGATTAAATTTCTTAACACCGGAAAAAATTTAAATACGCCAGTCCAGCCATAATCACTGAAACTTAAAGCAAATGTTATAAAAACAGTGAAAGAAAATATTTTACTATAATGTTTAATAAAGCACTATAAATAAAAATGGCATGTCATTTGCACTTTGTGAATACCAAAAGATATTCAAAATTGTTTTGTTATATACTAGTTTAAAATGTATGTATATCCATAGCAAGTACAGTTTCAAACAAAATTTTCTAAATTTCAGTTTCTTTTCCAATTGGAGACTGGCGCAATTGAGAACTTTGTCTTTCTTGGAGTTTCATCTTTTTCTGTTCACCCAGGACAACATGTCGGAGTTTCTGTGCAGCGCTATGGTCATCATAACGGAATGTGTCATATATAACGGTGTTGATACTAACAGATAACAGACGTGTAACTACGAATTCCCAGCATGACCTCTTCAAATCAGCAATGTTAAATTCAACAGCACAACAAAGAAGTCCAACAACAGTTGAAGCATCCATGGTAACTGATCCACAGTGTAAAAACAATAAAAATGAATAGAACACTTCGATGTCGTAACTTTCAATTATTATGGTAGTCTTGTGGCTACTTCCGATTTTCTTCTCATCTTTTGATTTCTTCAATTTTTTTTTTGTGATTTATGCATTCCCGCGACTGCTTTACGAACATGTCAAAAAAAACTCTACTTCTTGTACCAAGAATCGACTTTAATCCATACACTGGAATTCTCTGTGCTCCAACAAGAAACATGACGTCACATAAGTGCGGCATGGACAGAATATAGCGAATATTATCAACCACAGTCTGTATCTTTGTAACTTTCATTGAATCATCGGTTATCTGTATATCATCAATATCTTCTAAATCGTCGCAATCGTCGTCTGAGGAATCATCGTCTGCTTCATCTGATGAGAAATCTGAATCGTCTGATGAATCAGTGTTAACCATTTTAGTTGTAACGGTTTTCTTGTCGTCTTGGTTTTCATCGGAGACATATACAGGGGAATCATATCCAGATGAAGCATCATCGTCGCTGTCGTCCAGATTCAGCAACGAAACCTTTTCTCCTAGCTTAGAATTGGGCGTACTAGTAAATAAAGCCATCTTTATATAAAATCGTGTGTGTTCGACTGTTGAAATTGAATAATTTTGAAATATCTAAGACTGGAATTTATATACAAAAGTCAACTGTAATTTTGACATTTTGAGTTTTGATGTGTCAGGTCGTATAGTGACATACAGACTGAGAGACAACTTTAAGGAGTACAAGATTGCATACTGAACTCGGACATGTGGGCTTAGGGTAATCAGCATGTCAAATAAAACGTCATGTCCTGTAATTGAATTGTTAACTATGATTAATCACCTTTTTTTTCACAGTAATCAGTGGAAGCTTTTGTAATGAATTTTCAAATACAAGCAAGGATTTGTACAGTGAGATCACTGTACAAATCCTTGATACAAGTAAGTAGAGTAAACAAAACAAAAGAAGATAAGATACGAAAGCGAGGATTATTTCCACTGTCAACATAAATTTGTTTTATTTAGGAAATAGAGTCATGTATAGAAAATAAAACCGTTAACATTTAAAAAATCTTTTTGTAAGAAAACAGACAAAATCTTTCGTTTTAGTTTAAACGATATATTATTTTTCCAGAGTGCACAAGAAGTAACAAATATACAATAAAAACATAAGGGTTCGAAAATAAGAAAACGTCTTTACATACATCCGTCTCCCTGCACAAGATGATGCTATCATGAAATCATTATTTGAATAGGTTTCTGGATCAAGTTCAATTAGATAAATAAAATATGAATGAACATCAATTAGCAGAATTAAACATTTTTTTAGAAAAAACAATCATGAAATACTGTAAAACTTCAAAAATATTTTAGTTTCCTCGTGATTTTATCTGTAATTGTATCATTCACAGGGACAAAATCTAAAAGTTGTAAAATTTAGCTGGAATTTGAATATTGAATAGTCTATACCATATTTATGTACTTATTGCAATTTCATAAAATCAAAATGTTATTCAGCACTACATGTTATCGTTGAGTACAGTTTGATACACAATTGCGAACTTGTACATGCTTTTAAACAAAATGGCGCGTTAATATCATTGGTCAAATTTACGATTCACTCCAAAACTCCAAAACCTAAAGAGATTGACTAAAGGGTATATATTGACCGAACAAGAAATATATCTTAAAAATCTCACAAATTTTATCATTTAAGTAACGTCAAATTGCCTAAACGCAAAATTTCGTACCTAAAAAGGTCGGTTTTCTGGCCCTGTGGTGACTGCAAATAATAATTATGCCGTCTGTTTAGACGATGCACGCCATAATATTGTTTGAACCTCGAAATACACAGTTCTATTAAACCTTATTATTTTATGCGTCCATCGTCGTTCAAACTAGACCAATTTCTTAGCACTGAAAATGTCAAAGATTTGTGTAATTTGTGTAAATTCTTTTTTAATGCATTTAATCAAAGGACTGAACTGTTAATGGACAATGATTGATGATTATATGCTTCTCTGATGTATTATGCCATTTTATGTTATAAATATATTTGTACTTATTCTTGTACTGATAAGCATAATGTAAAGTAACAAAGAATTAAAGAATTCAAGATTGAAAAACTATAATCAAAATGGCCATTTCCACGTGCTTAAAAAAACGCATTCCTAATATAAATTCAACTGCCACTAATCGAAATTCACCTTCAAAATTTATCACATTTTACAATTGTGTTAAAGGAGGTAGTGCCTCTGAAGATAGATTGTTCAACAAAAGAGCACGTGGATATCCACAAATATTCCTGTGCAATGCCAGGAAATGACTAACCTGCTCTAGATTATCTTCAGATAATACTGTTCGGTCATCAGTGAACGAAAGAACTTTTTCTCTCTCCTTTTCATATGACATTACTTTAAAAAATCCAAAGACTCATTTATCATGTAAAATGAGCAAAGCCGAAATGTAGGATTCAATATGTAGGGCAAACTGGACGTGAATTTTTCAAACAAACAGAAGAACATCTATACAGATACCGCAGACCTAAGAAATTCAAAAGTTTAATTTACCAACATTTAGAAAAACACATACACAATATCAAACTTTCAAAATTCAAACCACTTCAACCCGTCTAGAAACAATCAGAACAATCACATAAACAGTTTGAAGATTCCCGTAAAATTTCATAACTGTCTTGGATTCAACGACTACAGACAGCGTATCCCCTAGGTCTAAATGACAATATCAAGGGCCAAGGGAACATATCTATAAAACTTCTGACCACTATTGACATCATGACTATTATTGATAAAAGACAACGCAATAATAGATATCATGGCAATCGAATTAATCGCAATCAACGAAATAAACATCGTTCTAACTTTACATCTATTTTTTAAAACAATAGTAGACATCAATTATCATGTAAACTGGTTCAAATGTCAATTATCAAATTACATATCATTTATAACGAGTGTGATACAATATCGTTTTTCCGTCTTAAATATGAGTGTACACGTATCATTACAACTTTTTGTCACCATATACTGTTCCCTCAAATTGACTAAAATGAAGATCATAAAAGGTATTCTATAAAAATAAAATACATTAATTGAGGTATTGATTTTATTAATTTGTCTAGTATTTTTAATGAATCTACCGTTCAAAACTGTATACCTCCATATTTGGATAACATAGAGCCACCTATAATTTCTTATTCGTAAAAAACAGTAGAAGTTTGATTTTTACATCGCGATGACCGTGAGGGCATTCCGATGTATTGCTGTCGCCTAGATTTCCATTGCGTAACATTCGATTTGGGTTTTGTAACCGATCAATAAACATGATAAAAACGCGGATATTAACGAGTGCAAAATAATCTTCAATGAATACTGATAAAAATATTTTTGTTTAGAACATAAATTAATAATATGAAAATGTTTTGTCGTTAGATATATATATATAAGTAAAAAATCATTGATAATATCTAGGAACACGTACCGAAAAATTGTGTTGAAGCATGCGGAAGAATATCTCAAGAACGTTTGCGACAATCCCGGCAAGGACCGGTAACTCTGCATGGAAGATTGTTTTTTTGCGGGAAAATATGAATGCCTACTCATATCCAATCTTTTAGAAAAATCGAATTTTTACAGAAGAGTGCCCACCATGCACTTGCACTGCACTATTACAGGAATAGTAGAATAGATTGATATACAAATGGATGAAAATTATATATACATGTAACTGTTATATTAATATAATAT